TATTCATTATAATTTTTAAAATTATTTCAGTCGGGAAGTGTTAACATCATAAAATTGAGATCTATAAGTTGCCAAACAGACCAAGATCAAGAGCGTGGCGAGGCCGGAAACGATGATGCATTCCACAACATAAAAGTAGATCTAGAAAATCTTCCTATAGACGACACAAGTAAAGAGTCGTCTGAATTCCACGTTGATGATAGCATTTCAAAAACCGAATACAGAAATGTTTTGTTTCATAAAATCCTTTCCAAATCAAATCTGGAGAAAACGCCGAAACTGTTTGAACCAATTGACCCACCAACATTGTCTGCAGACGAAAATGAAGGACTTACAGAAGACAATACCGTGACGTCATCGAGTGAAGAAGACGATTCGGAACAAGAACTCGCAATAGCTCCTCTATTTGGAAATTTGCGCATCATAGACGCAAACGACGATGTCGTAAATAATCGTCCGAGATTTAGTCGATTTCACGCAACTTCCGTTTCCAGTGTACTTGCTCTCCTTTTTGCCGAAATAAATGTAATTTACCACGGAATAAGAAGTTCAAGAAGCCGTACTGTGCTGACAATTTTCTGGTTTTTGTATGGTGGACTTATCGTATACATCTCAAGATCCTTTCTACCCTGGATGACATTTTATACTTTAATTTACTTTATTATCATTTACGCTGAAATGTCCCCGGCGCCGTTGTTTAGATAAAAACACCGGCCATCTTTTCGTATATAATTAAATGTATTAAATGCATATAATATGCGCTCTTTGTTCATATGATTATTATTAGTCTATTAAATATCGTCCAGGATATCGTTTTAAGGTTATGTTTATTTTATGCTTTTCAGTGGACAGTGAAATTATATTTTGATACACGGTGAAATTATAAAAATTACTATAATTTTCACAGTAGCCGGACTATATCTGAATGATATGGTGTTACGATAGGACAAGCGCGTTTTCTCTGAGAACGAAAAGCGCGAAACATGACTGTACGATGGTGACAGTGCGTCAGTACGATGGTGACAATACGACAGTTCGATGGACTGTCATCATCGTACTGTCGTGTTTCTTCATGGTATTGTCACCATCGTACTGTCGTACTGTCACCATCTTACTGTCCCGCCATACTGTCATTTTTCGCGGTTTCCGTTCTCATAGAAAACGCGCTGGCACTAACGGAACATATGAAAATAACATTATTTAATTAAGGAAAAATTTGGTCAGAAAAAATACGCCGTCGTGAGTACATTGTGCTTGATTGTACGAAAAGCACATTGTATGCACAAATATTTTTTTTTAATTGTTATTTGTAAAAGTTTACAAGATTATTTTTCAACGTGCAGATTTAATGGCGTCATGAACGAGAGAGCATGTCGTAACGCTGCAAAATTCAGACAAAGACATGAAATAAAAGAAAATTGTTTGTTTTGTATGTAGGAATAATGAATACCATTAATACTGGGTTACATTTAAAATGGCGGCGTCCAACTAGAAAAGTCAAAGAAAATTACTGATAGGTATATAGAAATCTATTTATCTTTTAATTGTCTATTATTATTATTATTATTATTATTATTATTATTGTTGTTGTTATTATTATTATTATTATTATTATTATTATTATTATTATTATCATTATCATTATCATTATCATTATTATTATTATTATTATTATTATTATTATTATTATTATTATTGATGTTATTATTATTACTATCATTATTATTATTATTATTATTATTATTATCATATCATTATTATTATTATTATTATTTTATTATTATTATTATTATTATTATTATTATTATTATTATTATTATAGATCATATGATAAAGCTTTATACGGTTGAATGCTTTTGTATACCATAGATAAAAGAGCACTGCAATATCTTAAGTAAAAGGCACAGTATGCCTTATAAATGATTTTTTTTTCTTTTGAAGAAAGGGCAAACGTGAGTTTTATAACATATAAATAATATAATAATATAAAATAATGGTTTAAGAGCAAGAAATTAGCACTGAATGTGAAAGTGTTTGTTATAAAAGTAGCAAAATGTAAACAAAGTAGTATTTTGACTTCCATACAAAATACTAAAACACTATAACTATACTTATTGCCAACAATCAATAGGAAAAAAAAAACAAAAAGTGGGGTTCAGCTTTGTGAAAAAAAAATCATTTTGGAAGCTTTTACTTTTACAGGATACTAAAAAATAAAAAGCTTTTGAGAAATAAAAATAAAAGCATATCTGGGGAATAATGGGCCTTTAAATGAATATTAGTCAACACCTCAAAGGGAAAGAATAGTCTACAAGGCCGTAACAAGATACAATGTAAAATTTTATCACTTATACATGTTTATTACTCTAACATATCATTCTAGTGCATCTGCACTCGTACATTACATTTAACCTTTTCAAGGTTATGCTTTCTAAAACATTTAGATAATCTTCTTTTAAGTCTATCATGTTTCTCATAGAGTCTCAAATTCAAATTCTTCCTCCATTATAAACGGCTCGGGTAATATAAAATCTAGGTAGGTAATATATCCACATATATCACTCAAAAACCAAAATAACATTAATAATATTATATCAAATATACATAAATGATTTTTTGCAATAAGTTAGAGGTTTGACCGCTTTTTGCCATAGATTTTACTGCTTTATCTGAATAAGCGTAAAGAGCAAAAGGTAAACTTTGCACTCTTAAGCCGTTATTTACGCGTGGCGATAAAATGTTGCTATCTTCGCTGTTAATGCCAGTCTTCCAAGTTCTTGGCAAACATATTAAATAAAGTAGTATTTGGAAATGAATTAAACGAAAACCTTTGCTAAACATAAATCACACTTGGTCAATATCTTCATAACTTTGATATTGGTTTACAGACGTAATAATCTTTGCTATTTGGTAATCTTTAGGGCATTTTTACTACAGTTCTGTGAACGGATTAAAAAGATATAATAGGGAGACTTTAATGAGTGTGCATGTATAGTTTACGAAATGAGATATTTCAAATTCGCATCGTGCATTTTGAGTAAGTAATTTAATAAATTATATCTTCGTTTATTTAATTCAATTGTTTCCTTTGGCAGTTGCCACAAATAAGCGGCGTGGCGCCACATAACGGTAACTGGAATCGTCTGATCTGAATATGCAAATCGTAATCACGAACCGTAGACCTTTAGACCCGATGTTCACTTCCGGAGCAAACACTTGCTAAGATTAATTAAAGTTCAATTTATTTGCTCTCTGTTTTTTTTCTTCAAATAGAAGAACGTTACATGTAGATCTTTAAACAGAAGCATTATGTAATGAAGTTTTTATCACACGTGATTGAGTTTTTGTTTGTTTGTTTGTTTTTTTTTTTTTGTTTTTTTTTTTTTTTCAGGTAAAATATTATGACAACTTTATAAAGAATACTAAAAATTGCATTGTGACCTGCCTTGAACAAATCACTAAGTCATTAGTCATGATGGTTAGATTATTTAAAACTATTGTAAACAATCATTCTTATATGCATAATTATATCAAATATCGTTAAAGTGGTCGCGTAAATTATATTTTAAAAAGGGAGAACACATAATTCTATTTTGTCAAAATATTAAAGCAGCATGCTTTACATATTTTTGATAATTTCATAAAAAATGAAAATGTTTTAAAAAATAAAGTACAATGTATTGTGAAATGAACACAGAGTATAGTTCACACATTGCAAACGATACTTACAATCCACACGAATTACCAAGAAGAGGTCAAAATATGCAAAAATAGCCCTTACTGCGTTAGTCACGGTGTAGAAATAGTGTAATTAATACAGCAAAATCAGTTATTAATCACACATAACATGTAAATCATTACTTATATCTTTAATATTTATTTTTACCACATAAATTAAATATTTTAGAATATAAATATAAAATGGTAGCACATATTTTTTTTGCAAAGTTCCACATGCAAAACTTGAATTAAAATCTTATAACATTTTTCTCAAATATTTTTGCTCATCTGGAGGCATGCAACTTAAATGTTTTATTTTCTTCAGGCGCTACACTATTTTCGCAAATTTCAACAAGACATCTTTCAAAAGATGGCAAATTATTCTATGTTAGTGAACCAGCTAAGAAATTAGATCACGTGACTTCAAAAGAAGAGTGTATCTCACATTCCGGAAGTCTCCTTCATGCAGACGCACTGACAACCGGAACTAAATTTCAAGACATTGAAAACTTTAATCTTTCAGCAAACACTTCTTATTGGTTAGAAGGTAGGTCAGTTATAGGACTTTTTTGTAAATGAAACATATTCCCCCTCTTTCATTGTAATTGAATAAAATTTTCTCTTAATATCAGTTGAAATAAAATTTAAGTGGGATAATACTTGTTTTCTTTCTGGTCATGTGAATTTGAGATAATTATAACGTTCTTGCTTTTTCTAAAATAATACCCAGATAAGCACCCTCTGTCTTCTTCATTAAGGGCTAAATTTTTAGCTTTACATTGATGGATTGATTAATGTTTATCCAAATTAGTATACGTTTGGAGGATCTGAATTTTTCGCAATACTTACTGCACGCGAATAAAGCAAGAATAATATACCTACATAATAAAAATACGTTATTCCATCATTGTGTATATCATTTTGATTGAATGATAAATGAAGTTGTCTAATTGTTAACAGGATCGGCTCCTTACCTAACAAACTCGTGCCTGCTGCTGTCCAACACGAGCACCGTGATGGCAGCTGGGTGTGCTCAACTCCATGGTTACATCTGCGAACTAAGTCTCGGGTTTACACCCAGTATGTCCGCTACGAAGTTATCTCATATCACGTTATCTAGTATATCCGAGACAAGCTCAGCTCCAGAATTATCCAAAGGAAATCTACCGGACTTGACGATTCAGCCCTCATTCTTGGAATATCATACGCCGATCTCCTCCGCCCAACATCCTCAAACACTAAATAATTTATCTGGTGCTGAATCGATTTCTTTAACACTACAAAAGTCATTTACATCAACAACTTACAGTAATATTTCACCAATGAAAGTCCAAACAAATCTTGTACATAGTCTACACGACAACACGTCAACAGGAAGCCAACACGGACCATATCCGGACACGACAGATTCAACTTCCGGTAACAAATCGACTACACAACACTACAATTGTAGCGTTTACTGTTTGAAATTTTGTTCATCATTGACCGTTGCGGAGTTGATCAGAATTATGAGGAACGTGTCTATCTCGGATAATATTGTAAACAGTGGTCAGCTCAATGAATCACTCGTGGTGAACGCTAAGGAGACTGGTCGAGCAAAGAGGAAGCTTTCAAGTGCGGCGGATTCGCGTTATTCGTCCAAGGCAATCGGAGGTTTAGCCGTGGTTATAATTACACTTGTTCCTGTTTGTTTCATTTTGATTGATCTCCCGAATCTTCTAAGACATTTGAAATACTTCAAGTCAAAACAAAAAAGATAGAATACAAAAAGGCTTTGAAGGCTTAAATAAAGTATTAAAGAAAGAATGGTAATTTTGTGTAAGAACGCTAGTTAATAAGAACAACAGTGGGCCATATTTATTTGGGCGCTCCTTCTTGATATTTGGACAAACGTGTACGACGAAAAATTATAACAGTAGCTTAAGTTCACTAGGTTTATTTGTTTCCAAACTGATTGTTAAGAAAATTTTCCATCAGCTAAATCAGTCGAGAAGAAATTTTATACAATCATATACATACTTCAAACAGGCATCCGAGGAAGTGCTTTCCGTGTAGGGGGTTTATGAACAATATCTTGAGTTCATACATTTTCTTCACAATTTTTGAAAGATTTTGCCGCCGTACCCTTTGTCCAAAAGTAACGTGGGTACGCCAGCTGCGAATACAATTTTGAACTTATCATAGCAACTCATGACTGATGGGTACTGTATAAAAATGAACTGAAAGATTTTTCCTATTTCCATTATTTCCCTATAAAAATTTAATTCAAATATTTTAAAAACTACTACCTATTAAACACAATATTGTTGTTTTGTTTAATTTAGTTGTGCTGACCTAACGCACATTTTCGTGAAGCGGCGTCAATGATCAAGGGAGATAATTTCTATAGAGCATTCCAACAATATCTAAGAAGATAAGATTTTTTGGCAGCAAGGCTGAAATAAAGACATAAAAATAACAAAACAGCTGGGTATCAAAGCAGTTTTTTACTTTAACAAACTACAAATATTTTGTAAGTAAAGCATAATAATAAGAATACATTATCTAATTCAATATTTGCAATTTTCAAAAACAACATATATATACAAATGTATTAAAAACAACAAATTTATATACAAATGTATTAAAAACAACAAATTAATTACAAAAAGCAAAATAGTTAGAAAATTTCCAATAGCAAAACAACAATAACTATTTAGAAAATCATTATATATAAATATAATACATAATTAATGACTTAGCCACGATTGATAAGTTATGTTAAACATTCTCTTTGATGTCGATGTACCATTATGAAGCATCATGCCTCCAGATTCATGCTAATTTTAATGAAAATTTTGAATATGTATTATAAAGGTAAGATATTGTGAAGTGAACAAAATAAGTTATTTAAACATTGCTAACGGCACTAACGTGCCACATAAATGACAAAAAGCGGGGTCAAAATAGGCAAAACATAGCCCCCTTACTGCGTTAGTCAAGTAGTAGAAATAATGTGAAAAATACTGCAGAATCATTAATTAATCGTTTATAATATATAAATTATAACTTAATTAAATCTTTTTACTTTTCTTAAAATCTTATTACATTTTTCTTAAGTTTTTTTTTTCTTGAAATATTTTGACACATCTGGAGGCATGCAGATTTAAGACATATTCATGAGGCATATCTTACTTCCATCCCAAGAAAATGTCAATTTATACGAATTTATATTTTGACAATGAAATGTCTAAAGCATTGCCCAAAGTCAAGAAGCACCCATACTGTCATTTTCTCCTATAAAAAAAATATATTATTTGAAATCTTTAGATCTAAACGTAAAAAATAAATCAAAATCATAACATATTAATGTAAGCAAAACGTCCAGCATTTTACAATTGACAAATCTAACAACTATAAAAAATAACAAGATTTCTATGTACAACTTCGTAATTGAAACGAACCGAAGATCATGCAGCATTTGATCGAATCAGTGCAACAGACAAACTTCTGCCAAAAAGCGTTCTAGTCTTCATTGAAAGTCATTCTAGACAGAAACAGGCGTTGGTACAAAAATAAGCTTATTGTTAAAGTTTTTAATATTTATTTCGTATCGTCTGGCACTCTCTCAGATTGATCAGATTTGTTCGACTTCACAGACCCCGACCTCCCCACATGCACTTTCAGCGTTTCATAACCGGGATTTGTGTAGCTAGGTGGCGCCACTGACATGTACTCTACGTCTTTCTCACTTCCGGTGATGCTATAAGCTGGAGGATTCATCGGAAGGTCACTGTATGCAGGAAGTTTGATGTCTATATCACATGGGGTTGCGTAGATATTGTTGTCATAAGCGGGCGTTGGTGGACCTTGATGACGTGCGGTTCGTCGTTTGCAGCATAAGAACACCATCACCGCAAAAAGAACTAGGAAAATACCGCCAATGATCGGTGCAACTGAAAAAAGATGCTATCTGTAATATATACTGAAAGAATACAATGCAAATGTGATTTATTGATTTCTTACAATTTTGAAGTTTAATGATAGAGGGTTTATTCACCCTTTTTCATGCATTAGCCTCTGCATAAACACGGGGGCGGTAGACTTACAGAATGACTCTAAAGACTCTTTTTCCCAATGCCCCCGCCCAATTCCCCACCCCCATTACACACATTTCTTATTGTCATTCATTTGATCCCCTATAGATAAGATCATTATGTTTTGCATTTATCAAGATAGATCTGATCTATATTTATTTATTCATTTATTTATCTATTTGTTTGTTTGTTGTTTATTTATTTATTTATTTATTTATTTATTTATTTATTTATTTATTTATTTATTTATTTAATTTATTTATTTATTTATTTATTTAATTTATTTCATAATTTATTGTTTATTTTTTGGTGAGAAAATTGCCACTCGTCGTTCAAATTAAGCGTTGATCAATGGTTAGTACTTACTAGTTTAAGTAAAAAAAGTTTTGCAAAATTTCTAAAAATTTAGTTTCAACATATTTTTACTTATCTGGATCATTTCATAGCAAAAATAAACAGTTGTTGACTTCATGTTATCATTGGAGAGTTAGAAATCCAAGCTTATAATTACCCTTTTAAATAATTTATAAACAATAGTGGCTTTGGAAAACATTGAATATTGCGGAAAATATTTTGGTTACATATTTCAACGAAATTCATAGTAGCATGAATTTAAATGTTTCGCCATTAAATCAGTCATATTGCTTAAAGGCTTGTTTGTCTGTTTGTATGTAAAACTGACATCATTTCTATGAGGTTTAATGCACATTTTTCTTACTTATCAACATAGTTTGTGGTTTGTCCTTTGATCGATTCTTGAGTCCTTGCGGCATGTCCTCAATGGATGCGTCTGTAATAAAGTTACATATGAAATTAAATAAAGCAGCAAATCTCCCATGTAATAATAAAATTGGGATTCAAACTATACATTTTATAAAAATGGCTACGATAAAATGTTGATTTTTGCTATACGTGGCTTATCAAACATGGCGAATCCGAAATTCGCGACATCTTTTGCCCAATAACCAGAACCAATAACATTTAACAATAACCAATTTACATTTACTTAAATAACGTTGTGCAGAAAGTTTTCAAAATTTACCAGGCAAAGTAATCGACAAAATCTGTTTACAAGTTTATGAATCAATCATACAATAAAAATAATTTCTTAAAAGACAGCAAACTTTTAGCAACCTCGTTAATACATAAGATTGGTTCAGATGAACAAATATATATTTTTAGAATCCCATACATCAGAAAATACACAGTGTGGAAAAAATGCGGCGAAATAAAAACAAACAGGAACAGATTTACTAAAATTAGCTACTGTAGTGTAAATACATAGAAGCGAAAATTTAAAAATCAGATCGAATCTACTGATCAATTAACCAATTAATTGATTTATCCATAAATCAAGCAAGCACTATCAACACAATTAATCAATCAAACAATATTTTTTTCTTTCTTTTCTTACCTTCTGGTGTGACAGATATGCGAAATCTACAGAAGGCAGAGTTTCTGTCATAATCTTGTATATGATATGTCAATGGGTACACGCCAACCGGAAGTACTTTTCCGTTCAGGTCTGAGCAGGTTTTGTAAGCCACGCCTACATTATCATAAGAGATTGGCTCCTTCCAACGAACAGGATAATTCTCGAAAACGTAGATGTCTTCCGGGCATGATTTAAATATTGGTGCAAATATATCTAAAAATGAAAGATTTTTTTTTTATTTATATTACTAAATGTTGTGGTTACAAATTTATACAACAGCAAACTACCTTTTGTTTGAGAAAAAAGTGAGATGTCTTAAAAGATTGACAGCAGCCATGTATATTATTAGTTATAAATCCTTTTGACAGGTTATATAACCAGGAATATTTATAACGAATTTATAATACAGCAACCTTTCTTTCTTGAGAAAAATGTGATATTTCTTAGTAATTTGACAGCAGCCGTGTATATTATTAGTTATATAGATTTTTGACAGATTATATGGCCCTATATATACGGTCGTTTGAAAATATATGGCCGTATATAAATGGATGTTTGCATCCTAGCGACTCGGGTTATATTTACTAATAGCTTATAGAGGGCCATATAATCTGTCAACAATCTTTATACGAGTAACTATTAATTTAAATGTCACGATTATCCAAATAAAAGTGATGTTACAATAGGGAAGTATAATAAAATGTCAAGTAACTTTCGATCTTCTCAAATAAAATAATTCTGCTGTATTATAAATTCGTTACACATATGTCTGATATGGTACATGGCCGTGTATAAACAATATTTGCAATATAATTATATAACCGTCATATAGCGGCTCTGGTTATATAAACTTTCAACGGTTTATAATGAGCCATACAAACGGTAACACATAGAGGATATTTGTTTAGTTCAGTGTAAGATCGGAATATACTTCACCGAGTGAGCACCAAAAGGTATATTTCACGAGTGGCGCAGCCACGAGTGAAATATGAACTTTTGGTGTTCACAAGGTGAAATATATTTCGATCTTACACCAAACTAAACAAATTTTCTTTTTATTACATGCAAAGAAACGTTTTAAAAAGACATTAAACCTAATACTGAATGAAAAGCGCGCCAAATAATAATACAACGTGACTTCATTTACGACGTCATGTCATTAAGTTGGTACCCAGTACTGTGCACGCTGATATTTCACTGAAATAACGTAAGGGGCTTAAGGTAGTACACCCCTAATGCACTGTCTCCACTTTGAAGAGTATTCAAATAGGCTAAAATCACTGTAAAGTGTATTGAAACTGAGGGGGCGTGGGTTCAAACCCCAGAAGAGGCAATTTTTTTTCTTTCTTTTTTTTCTTTTTAACATTTTTTATTAATCTCTCAGACCCCCTATGGAAGAAAAAAGTGTTTTATTTTAATTATATAATTATTGTAGGTATTTATTTACTAAATAATGCCAAATTTAATAGCAAATATGATACCAGATATTTTCAAAGTTTAATAAAATAAAAACTAAACGGTAAAAGTATTTTATATTTTGCAAGACCAACAAATATACATAAAAGAAAATTTAGGAAAACTTTGAAAATAGCCCCTCATTTTGGAAAATTTTAGGGTTATTTTAAATAAGGCTTTTTACATAGGGAAATGGTCAAATTAGTGTTAAAAGTGGGTGGGGTATGGTTACATTTTTATACATATTAAAAACATTTCGTTTAAAAACAATCATTTTGCTTGTTTAATTTGTTACCTAAATGTCATTATTTATTTCTTAACAATGAGCAAAAGGAAAACATTTTTTTACAATGATGATATTATAGATTATTTAGAGTTTCCTCATTTCTGAAAAAATCCCTTCTAATGGCAAAGTTTTAGTTCATAAAAATGTCCATATCTCATAAACCACACGGTAAATGTTGTTTAAATTTTGCAAACAGGTGACATTTAGGGCATATAACTGTCCTATGTTGTCAAATTTACAATTCCTTAAAGTGCCCATTAGGGGTGTACTACCTTAAATTCAAAACAGTGAAATTATCAAAGTGGTAATTCCACTGTTTCAAACAGTGAAATTATCAGTTTTATATCACTGATATATTTCTATAAACCACCGAAAAGCATGTAATAAATCTTTATAACTAAAACTTAACGCTTGTTTGCTTTGGTTATAGTGCTGGTTTTGGTAGTTTTCACTACAGATCACGGCAGTAAGCCACAATGAATTCACCAGAGCATAGTTCAGCCACCTGGGCATGCTGTCAAGCAGTTTACAAATACGGTTTGCCTTTGGTTATATATCATAACGCACAAACAAAAACACATAAAAACTATTTCCAGGAAGAAATCTTACCGTGTACAGTAACTTTGAATGTACATATAGCCATGTTCCCGTATTTATCTGTTGCAAACGCCTTGATGACGGACACTTTTCTGGAAGCGTCCTTGCAATGACAGTGTTTTACAAACCGTGGCTCAAATCTCACCTATTATTATGAAATAAGGAATTGATTACAGATCCAGTAACACATTTTTTATGGTTTTATATCATAAATATGATGCTCAAAAAAAGATTTATTAATATTGTAAGTTCCAAAAAGCATTATTTATATAAATATTACCGAATTTAACATTTCGTGTAAAATAAAGGGAGGTAATTAGAATTTTGTTTTTTTATAACGTCTTCGTCAAATTTTTCAATAAGAAGTGAATGCATTTATTTTAATGATTACATATAATGTGCACAAATATTTGCAGTACATATTTTACATATTCTTCGGTGTTTGAAAATTGTTTTATAAGCATAGTTCTATATAATATAAAATTTCACTTAAGTGTGGTATATATGTGTAGACACTTTTACCACTTAACAAACTGTCTTGTACCCCTATGGTATACGATAAATAATAGACTTGCATATCATACTGAACGGCCTCCTGCACTATATCAAAATACAGTAAGCTTATGTCATACCTTTTCAAACATACATATTGCATATTTTTTGTAACGCACAGTTTGTTTTTTTTTTACTTATTGTTTGTCTTTCTGAATAAAAAAATGAAATTGTTTGAAAAAACCTTTTCTTTATCAGAGATGCGTCTTTTAATTTCTGAAAATATAAAGAAAATACTCATTTAAATGAATATTTCCCAAAGAAAGTTATGAAGGAGCACGTGCTTGTAAAAAGAACGACAACTCTTTTTTGATTTAGCGAAGAAAATAAACATAGTTACCTCCAATGGTGCGTTCTCTGAATCCCATGCCAGGATGTGGGTATTCTCTTGATCAATCCATGAATAATCCTCGTAATAAGTTGTGTTTAAACGGAGAACACCGGTAGGACACCTATAGAGCGTCGGTGGTACACGGGATGGAGTTTCTATAAACGTTTGACAACAAATTATTATTTACATTTTTTTTTTTGGTTTTTGACACTTAAGATGAACACAGGTTATTTTATCCATCTGGTCATTTTTTTCCCTCCCAGGTCCGATACTCGTGCCTGTGTGCAAGACCATGCCATATCATTTTTTATGGAGTCCCAAAAGTGACACGAGTATGTGATAAATATAATATTTTCATAAATTATGAAGTTTTTTTTTTTTCATTCCTCATATAAGGTAATTCTGTAATATTTATGTGTGACATGTTATTTGGCCGATTATAATACTGCATCTATGTAACGTCGCTTTTAATTGGATAATCGTGACGTTTCCATGGCTGCAGTCGATTAATGAAGTAATTTCATTTTTGCCTTCAATAAAGGCACTATTATAAATTGGTTATAAAGATTCTTGACAAGTTAAATGGCTGTACATATAAACAGTTACTTGCAATATCATTACTGATAAAAAATAGTAAAGTAAAATTAGAATTTTTGAGCAAAATAAACTTAGAATAAGAAAAAAATTAAAGAGTGTGAGGTTGTATTTCATCCTTCAGATCGAACCTGGACATGTCGGGCAGCACTGTCCTGGTTTGGTAATCGGATCCCTCCCATCTCGACACTTAATGGTCGCGCATGACATAGATGTACACGTAAAGTCCCCATTGTACATGCACGTGCAGTTCTAAAAATAGAAAATAACATTAGACGACATAAAAATTCACATACACAAAACACTTAATGACTTAAACAGATCCGTGTTACTGTAGAAAGGTGAACGTGTGCTGCGTGCGTTCGTGCGTGTGTGCGTGCGTGCATGTTCGGGTTCCCGCAACATGATAACGATATAGTACAACGCCCAAGCTCAATGTCATGGCTCTTCATATTGTAAAAACTGTATTTGTTTGTGTGTTTGTTTGTCGACGCATCAACACCTACTTGGCCTAATATATAGTGTTCGTGACTTAAGTCATACAATTAAAGTTTTGTTTAAGTTATAAATCATTGTTTCTGATGGAACTGAGACAAAAAAGCTCTCTATGAAAATCTGCGATAGAGCACATCTGTATTTAACATGTGATAATACCCACGGACTAAACTAAAAATCAGCCTCATAAGATTCCAGTGGTTCTAAAATAAACATATATGTTTGCATATAATTTATGTAAAAATTGGAACATTTAAGCTGCAAAATTGATATTGCATATTTGCGCACATAGAACAATTTAATTATAAACGTACTTCGCAATCATTCGGTTTAAACTGGCCGATTTCGTATTGTCTGCCCAAGTATTCACAATAATCAACTTTCTTCCTTCGGCACGTGGTAGTACAACCTTCTTTGCAACAGACTTCATCTATTCCACAGTCACTGTTTCTCGTGCAGTAAGTAGCACAGTAGGGTTGTTCGCCAACTGGCACCGGGCACATTTCAGGCTGATTGACTATTTAAATAGAACGATGATAGAATCAACAGTAAATTCATATTTAATGTTCATTTCATTTATGATTGCTTATTAAATAATATGAATAAAACATTTAAAGGATTTATTTGATGCAATTCCAGCCACCATCCGTTTCCATTGTTTCAGAGACATATGATAAAAGCGACACCTATACTGATACATTTCCTAAAGAATTGATCGGATTTGTTTGTATTTTAATACTTCATTTCTGTTTGTTATAAAGCCGCCAGCTTGTATTGATCATGAATAAAATATACTTTATTAAGGCAGTGCGCATGCGTTGATCAAGTTATGTAACCCACGAAAACCGGTTTATAATAATATATTTTTTTCATTTTTTTTCTACTTTAATTGAACCACATACATTCAGAATGCTTGAAGTGTTTCAACTTTAACGTAAACAAAGCCTTTATTTGAAGACATGTTTAATTCATTCAAATCTGTTACAAATCGTTACGGACATTGAACACGATTTAATTGATTTGGCTTCTTTGAGTTCAAATCCCGCCTTGGACTTTTGATTATTTTATTTGAGGTAGCAAGCTAGTCCTCGGACTGTCAGCGGTGTGGGTGTGAGAAAATATAAAAATGGTCTACCTCCACGAGTTTACCTCAAAAGTTACCATAACGACCCTTTTGTCAACTTTACACCCTTACGAAACAAAAATGATTTGAGCCGCGTCACGACAAAACCAACATAATCAGTTTGCGACCAGCATGGATCCAGACCAGCCTGCGCATCCGCGCAGTCTGATCAGGATCCATGCTGTTCGCTTACAAACCCTATTACAAGTAGAGAAACTGATAGCGAACAGCATGGATCCTGATCAGACTGCGCGGATGCACAAGCTGGTCTGGATCCATGCTGGTCGCAAACCCATTATGTTGGTTTTGTCTTGACGCGGCTCATTTGTATTCCATCCATTAGAAAAGCAGAAACTAGACATGAAGACTGTTTTCAGCTCTTCAATAATTACTGCCATAATAACAGCGATGTTCACAATAATTACATACAGCGATGTTCACAATAATTGCTTAAAGACATGTTCACAATAATTGCTTACAGACATGTTCACAATAATTACTAACAGCGATGTTCACAATAATTACTTACAGCAATGTTCAAAACAATTACTAACAGCGATGTTCACAATAATTACTAACAGCGATGTTCACAATAATTACTTACAGCAATGTTCAAAACAATTATTAACAACAATGTTCACAATTATTACTTACAGCGATGTTCACAATAATTACATACAGCGATGGTCAAATATTTAATTATAGAAATGTTTACAATAATATTTTACAGAAATTTTACAATAGAAATGCTCACAATTACTTCTTACAGAAATGTTTACAATACTTTCTTACAGTAATGTTTGAACAATAATCACTACAGTTATGTTCACAATTATTACTTACAGAAGTTATGTACAAATATTACTTACAATAATGTTCACAATATTTTCCTACGTAATTTTCATGACAGAAACAGTACTCGAGGGTGTCATTTCTTAAACACGTGCCTCCGTTCATACATGACATCTCGCATCGTGCTACAAACGAGAATCAGAAAAACTTATTTGTAACATTAGTGTTGGAGAATTTGATCAAACTCGCGACCCCTGGCCCCAAAAGGTCTTAAAGATATTCTTCAAGCTCAAACTCAAATCTTTCAAAATTATTTATTGGTGAGAAACTGTCATAGAATATACACTGACCAATAAAAATCCTGGGATTTGAGACAGGACTAATGAGAAAATATTTTATTACCTTGATGCCAGGTTTTAAAGTAAAGGAGTATTACTACTGCACTATAGTGATTGCTTTTTTAACATTATTATTATTTTAATCATTATTATTATTATTATTATATTTATTATTATTATTATTATTATTATTATTATAAATATATTATTATTATTATTATTATTATCATCATCATCATCATCATCATCATCATCATCATCATCATCATCATCATCATCATAAGCGTCATCATCATCATCATATCATCATCAGCAGCAGCAACAGTAGTAGTATAATTATTATGTACTTACTTTGTTCGCATCTCTCTCCATAATGACCAACTGAACAGTTACAATATGGTCTGCCATCCTTCACAACACAATCACCGCCATTTTCACATTGACAAATTGCTGCAGACGATAATCAAAAATCTTTTAAAATTCCATAATTACATCTTATAAAAGGTGAAACAGTTTTTCACTATATGCATGCTTTTTCGTGTGTTCATTTCTAAGACAACACGAGCCCATGTTCTAGACAAGTAATATTGTACGGAGAAAAACTTACTTATTTTAACTATTATCATTTTCAAAATGAATAAACACAGTAAGAAACTAGTACACCTTTTTGAGCTGAATGTTTTTTTCCCTTTTCTTTTATTTATTCTTTTTTATTTTTCATTTCTTAATTAATTAATTAACTCACCTATTTCACTCACGCATTCATTCATTCATTCATTCATTCATTCATTCATTCATTCATTCATTCATTCATTCATTCATTCATTCACATTCATTCATTTGTTTATTTATTATTTTATTCTATTTATTTATTCAGTTAATTTTTATTATACTTTTTATTTTCTTATATTTTATTTTTATTTTAAAAAAAAGGATAGTTTTATAGGTTTGCATAAAACATTTTTTAAATTAATTAAATGTGTAGTTTTTTACTCACGGATTTCACAACTTTTCCCTTCAAATCCTGCTGGACAGACGCAGTAATAGTCATGGTAAACCTTCCGAGGTGTTCCACCATTCTGGCACTGCATGTGACCGGTGTGATTACCTGTATTAGTTTATTAATTGACTGATTGTTAAATTAATTTAAGCATGCCTTTTAAGTGATTCAAAATTATTCCTATTTTATGCACGTAAACGAATAATAATACTTTTGTTGAACTATTTTTATGTAGCCACGCGTATTGTTTATCCAGACGGTTCTAAAATTAACGCTATAAAGGACAGTTTTTGTGAAAAAGACTCTGAGAAAATTTCAAATTTATGCAATCTCATTGAACGAAAAAGTAATCTTGTTAGCTGAGAACATCTTAGACGTTTCTGAACGTTTTCGATGACGTGAAAATAGATATGACGTCATGATAACTTTATGAAAAATATAATGAGCCGTGTCATGACAAAACCAACATAATGCGTTTGCGACCAGTATGGATCCAGACCAGCCTGCGCATCCGCGCAGTCTGATCAGGATCCATGCTGTTCGCTTACAAACCCTATTACAAGTAGAGAAACTGATAGCGAACAGCATGGATCCTGATCAGACTGTGCGGATGCGCAGGCTGGTCTGGATCCATGCTGGTCGCAAACCCATTATGTTGGTTTTGTCGTGACGCGGCTCATATGTATATCTTACGACATCGCCCATAATAATCTTCCTCGTAGCCAAAACAACACCTTTCATAGCATTTGTAGACTGAGCATCTACTCACCGAGAAACACATTCTGTGAAAAATATAAAAGAGCAAGAATGTAATTACATATCAATCAAAATATAATAAAAGTATTGATGACATAACGATATAGCGATACCCGTTAATTAGTCTATTATCTCTGGAAAATTACGAAGATTCGTTAATATTGCAGGAAAATTATCATCATGTTTCAATGAAAGGCTATTCTCTAACAAATGTTATATACTTGGAAGAATTTTACATAAGAAGCGCTGAAGAGCTATAGGTTAATGACATCATATCCAAAGTGATATGGGTGTTTATTCACAACATATACACCCATATCACTTCGGATATGACGTCAATAAACAACGTGACGTAGTGATCATTCTTTTTGTCGGTGTGTAAACTTTCAACGTATTGCTATTTCTTAATGCTCGGTTTAATTGCTCAAATGTTTAATAATTCATCGCTCATGCCAATGCGATTCTTGACGATGTTACTGTGCAATCTGAGAGCTGAAATCTTCAGTATCATGACAAGGAATTCAAAGTTCAATCATTATCAAAGCTACAATTGAAAATATAATACGTAAAAATCCGGCAGCGCAGTTAAGAGACGTGACAATTATTTGCTCCAAGTCCTTAAGGTGCTCATTAACATATGAGAAATAGGTGGGAATTTTTATGACGGGTGTATTGAATTGGAAAGGTTAACAATCCTACCTGCATCCTGAAACCCGTCCGAAATAGTAGACGTTTTCTTCCTCGGACTCGGCCATACTGTCGTCATAATAATCGTATTCATCGTCATCGTCGAATTCGTGGCAACATTTAATCGAGACGCACGTGCCGTTCATTGATACCAAAGAGGAGCAAATGTTTGTTTCGGTGCTGTTGTGTGGGCAGTTAGCCGGCTCCTCCGTACTCCAATCACTGAATAACATGTAAGAATATGTTTAATGTTAACAAAAGTTCACCTGATGAGAATAATTCGGAAAGTAGTACTGTTCAGAATCACAGACACTTGTGGTGTGGAGTTTAAAACGCTTAACTGGAGTGCAGGTATTAGTTACCCGTACTCCAGAGCATGCCCATTGATTGGCTCATTTTTGCTGGGGTTTACATATTGTGGCGGCAAAGAAAGGGAAAGCGACAGAAATATCATATTCAGGTGTTCGTTCATTGGTTCCTTTTTGCCGGGGTTTCATATTGAGACAACAGTGAACGTGTTTTTATGTTTGACTATGCTACAAAAGAGAAAGAACATCAAAACCCTCGGCAATCTGATTAATACTCGGGGGCTGCGCTCCTCGTAAAAATCAGATAGCCTCGTGTTTCGATGCTCTTTCTATTACTTGTGAATGGTTGTATATGTTACTAAAGGCCAGCAAAAATGAACAAATCAACGGGCATGCTCTGGAGTGCGGGTAACTAATACCTGCACTCCAGTTAACGCACTGTGCATGTATATGTATACGATTTAATTCTGACACATTTTCAACAGAAAGCTCCCAAAACTATGATGCAATAATAGGATAACGGGACTATTAGTTAGTGAATATATAAAGTACAGGTCGGTTTGAAATATATGTTTGACCTATTACAAGACCAATTTTGAATTTAAGAGGTAAAGTTTAAAAACAACAACAAGTATTTTCTTCATATTTTATTTATTAATGATTACTACCATATGACACCACCGTATGATACAGTTGTGACCGTGATCTTTTTAGTAAATAGGGTAAAGTAAATAAGTACGTTAATCATTACCCATTAAAATGGATGTACTTTATTTTATTATGTATTTTTATTATTCAGTTTAAACACGATATGTTCTAGATGTTTTCTAAAAATAGTTTCGCCAGTCACGAACAGCGTTGCTCCACTGAGCATGCGCAAATCGCAATGGGTAAAAATGAATTACTCATGATGTTGGAAAAGATCCAAGTACGGAAATCCGATCAATCTATTATTTCAATGCAAATTACTTGTTTCGCTTGTATAACATAACTACATGCACATATATATAACCGAGCATGACTTTACATAGTTTATGCACAACATCTCTTCTAAATAAACGTATGCACTTACATTTGTATATAGAAATTGAACCAATTTGCACAAGGCCCGGGCAAAAGAAATCAGTGCATTTTACTCTCAGAGCATTTTACTTTGGGAAAGATATTCTTTTTTGCAAAATTGCATGGCCGATACCTATTGTTTTATCCAAGTCTTTTCATTTAACAATCCAAGTCTTACGTCATACGTCAGTTAATGGCAGATTTACATTTTTCTACACAGTTATGCATACCACCCTGCCAATAAGGAAGTTAGAACCGTAATTCAATTTATTATTTATTGGCTTGTACATTATACTTTTTCAGTATACTGAACAATTTAATAAAAAAAAATAAAGCATTTCAGACATCTTTATTCAATGATGAATCATTAACTCAATTTTGTCCATGTTCGTAAATTGTCCGGGGAAAAGAATAGTTTGAGAGGCGAGTTGCCCAGGAGCAAAAAATGTCCATGAGAGAAATTGTCTAAAATGGGAGTGGAAATGCCAATGAGAAGAATTGTGCGGGAGAGAAACATGTCTAGGAGAGAATTTGTCCTGGTTCTTTTCAATGTACATCATAAGTCGCAATAAATGAGCGGACATATCTTGTAAAGGTATGTGGGTAAATGAAATTTCAAGGAGAGGAAATGTCTAGAAAAGGAAATGTCCAAAAGGGTATGATCTGGGAAATGAAATGAACAGGGGAAAATGTCCGTGGATGAAAATGATTGGGAGAGGAATTGACCGGAACATTCAGATCTATTTCGCTGTCCATTTTCAAACATATTTCATATTTTGGCCTTGTTCGGGGTTGTGGGAATCCAGGATTTGAGATTGTTATTGTTATTTTAGATTTGTCGATCCGATAAATCATTTTATAGAGTTACCTTAATGCAGGAGTGTTTAGGGAATTTACCTTTCTTTATGCTTTTTACATTATTTATGACATGTTCTATTCGAACGTTTTTAAATATTATGAAACTTCCTTGTTATTAAATTTAAGATATGGATATTTGCCAAGTTACAACATGACCTGTCCATTTTTTAAGCTTGGACTATAAATAGTTCAAACAAAGTACTCTAAAAACAAACTTGTCTCTTTTCATATTTTCATAAGTTGCGTAATTCTATATCAAAGTTTAGACTAGTGTATTTAAGCTTGCTGTATATGAAGGCTTGAAAATTATTTCAAACACTGTTAGTTACCCGCGTCTAATAAATATTGGCGGTTTAAACACCAGTGTGGCTCTTATCCAAGACCTTTTAGTTGAGAAGCAGACAGTCTAATCCCCTTATCACTTCTCGACATTTTTTTATATTTCTTATTTGAATTTTTAATTGTGATTTATAAAGATCAATTCAGAAGTGTATCGTGAATCGTTATATCATTTAACACAAAACAGTTAGTCTATGTTTTATTCTATTTCTTTTGCATCCAAAATATGAACTGTTTAATATCTTTACATTGATGCGTCTATAGTACTGGCAAACATGTTTATAGCGCGTCTTAACGTTTTGTTTGTATAACGCAAAAGACGCAGAATATAAAAAAGCAAAAGCGACAGGTGTATGTGATAAAAAAAGATACATGCAGAAATATGTACAAAATATCAAACAAGGTGGTTATTATCATCCGTTATGTTATCAGGCAAACTAAAATGAAGGGCCAATACACTTTATTGAAGAAAAAAAAAATAGAATTACAAAAAGTTATGGCAGAAAATAAAACCTGGACCGACTTTTGTATTTGTTTTTCTGTCCCAACAGATCATAAAAAGGCACTCGGTGATTACGTGTATTCAAGTCATCTGCTACTTTAATAGAAAAACAATATTTTATGTTACATAGCAGTAAATTAAAATGATATTATTTTGGTGAATAATACGGAAATAATTGATTCTTTTCTTATCTTTTTTTTTATAAGTACGGTGATAACAGTACTGCGACTGTCTAAAAAATCAAGCTAAAAATAAAGCTAATAAAAAAGACCAACAACAATCATATGATGTAACAATATATTTATTTTTATGAGATAGTTATGTAACTTTTACGTCCGCATATACATGTATGTTTATTGTTTATGTGCGCTATAATATCCTATTCAAGTGCACTTAAATTTCCCTATTCGTTTGTTTGTTGTTTTGCTGTACTTTTACTGAGCCACGAACGGGCACCTGCGTAGAACCACCGGCGTTTCGTAAGTAAGCAGGATAGCTTCCTCAAATGAAAAAATCCAATGTCCCTGCCGGGATTCGAACCTACAACGATAAGAGGCAAGTGGTTTCATGTCAACGACCTTAACCACTCGGCCACGGACACCCACTCAGTTAATTTTGAACCCCTATTAAGCGACCACCTTTGCTTAGTAACATATTTATATATAGTTGAATCACTGTTTAACGACAGATAAATAATAAGGTAAATATGCATATCTTGGAAACAGCTGTGTTCATTAAAACAACATTATAACAACAACGTGATTTTCTACATGGATATCAATAATACAACGTAAAATGTTGTTGTTCAGGTTTTTTTGCTAAGATAAAGCGTGCTTGTTTCTGAAAATTATGAAGTGGTGGCTTTATTATTTTCCTTAAACACGCTTTATAGAGTCAATTTACTGTACATTTGAGCCGCGTCACAACATAATGGATTTGCGACCAGCATGGATCCAGACCAGCCTGCGCATCCGCGCAGTCTGATCAGATCCATGCTGTTCGCTATCAGTTTCTCTATACTTGTTATAGTGTTTGTAAGCGAACAGCATGGATCCTGATCAGACTGCGCGGGTGCGCAGGCTGGTCTGGATCCTTGCTGGTCGCAAACCCATTATGTTGGTTTTGTCATGACGCGGCTCAAATGTTGATAGAGTTTTAAAATGATTCAGTTTATATGATTAATAATAATATTTTGTTCAAGAACATTTTATAATCTGCTATATATTGATATGTCATATCGAATCATGTATCTAACACTTACCAACAATTAACTTATTCATATAAAACTTGGTTTGTTTTTGAATACGAAACTATATAATATCAATAAAATTATTCATGGTATTACCGATCTTCAATTATAGACCAATTCACTTTAATTTGTAAATAACTTGGAATATTAAAGCGCTGTTTTATAAGTCGGAAAATTGGAAAATTCAAAGCAAATTAAAAATGAACGAGAAAATTAAAAGAAATATATATTTTATCATTGACAGTTATATGTTTTATTTATTTAATTTAATTTAATTTTTATTATTTAAATTAGATTTGATTTAATTTGAATTAATTAAATTTGAATTAATTTGATTTAAATTTAATTATTTTATTTATTTTATTTTATTTTATTTTACATTTTATCATTCTATTTTTTATTCATTTTGTTTATTTATTTTTAAACTGTTGATCGTTTTGTTATTGTAAATTTAAATAAATTATAGCCGAAATAGATATATTAATACTGTATGTGGCAGTCAAGTGATTTCGATTAGTAACTTAATATATCACTAAGAACTAACTGGACCAAACTAGGCCGCACTGAAAAATTCACGAAACTGTACTACGTTTTAAACATTTCCACATTACTTATACACTGCTAAAACAAATTCAATTTTCTATCAAACTTTCAACATCAATTTTTCTCAAAAATAAATTGACCTACTATTGCTCAGATGAGCTCGAGCCCGGAGTCGGCGTTTTCCTATGGTCAATGTTTTTTAAAGAAATAAATGTCTAAATTATTCATTTTGTCAAACTGATGCCAATAAAATTGATTCTACTGATACAATTTACAGATTATATAAGCTGACGAACCTCACATGGGCTTATTTTAAACATACAATGTTAGCTCGATTCATTTATGATAGAAACTTTAAGCTTCTTTCAGCCACAGAAAACTGTTGAGTTTGCTTTCTGGAGCTCACTAAAGATGATATCATAACAGGTAATACGGTCGACACCCCGGTAGGGTTCTAACCTGTGACTCCTGAATTGAGAAACGGACACCTTAACCACTAGTCCACTGATATACCGTATATCATCATTCATGGAAATATTGTTAAAACACGTCCTCTTTTGCTGAATATATTACTTTTAGCAGACTAGCTACATGGTTTACAAAGCTGGTGAAGCTGAGGATTATAAACGATGTGAGTCCACGATGCCTCCGATGCCAGCAGAGCATTGGCAATGACTAAAGTATTGTTCGATTTATAATCTAGTTAAATAAGGTCTGAATTCTAAAAAAAAATCAAAATTGTTCTATATACATTTTCACTTCCGCAGACGACAGTTTTGATTTAAAAAAAAAGAAACTTACAAGTCCCATCTCCAGCTCTCTGTGACCGGAAGTGCTGCCGCTAATATAACCAAAAGATAAAATCCTTTCGCAGACGACATTATTTTTCCTTCACAAATACAGCGAAAAATAGTTCGTTACATCTGATACTTGAGGCCGATTGATATATTTAACAAGTTGTAAACGGATAAGCTTCACGCTTCGTATAACCCGCATTGTCACGTGCTAGGTACATTCGGACCTGTATTGGGAAAATCGTTATGAAACATGGATTTTTTATATAAGAGAGGGTATAATTTGCCGGCGGGTGAACAACTGTTACATAACTCGATAAACAAGATAAGTCCATTAAAAGTTCAAAATCAAAAGAACAAGGCTGGTAGATACCGGTTAAGAATTGTTAGCTCTACAGAACTTAACTTGCATAATTTGAGTTTCACTTAAGCTTGCTTATTTTAAAGCTTACATTAGCTTGCATAATTAGAGCCTTACTTTAGCTTGCGTAATTTGAGTATCACTTTAGTTTGCATAATTTGGGTGTTTAATTTGAGCCTCATATTTGCTTGCATAATTTGAGACTCACTTTTGCTTGCATATATATACCCACCCTGCTTATTTCAGTAATTGACTTACTCTTCTTAGAATTTTAAAGCGCTCATCCTATAAAAAGGGGATACGGACAAAAGCCCCCCCGGACGAAAGCCCCCCTGTCTAAAAATGACAAGGTGGACAAAAGCCCTCCCATGAAATTTACACATAGGACAAAAGCCCCCCCATAAAAAAGTAAAAGTAGGACAAAAGCCCCCCCCCCCCCATAGTCAATCTAATTTACATATAGTGTATTAAAGTTGTGTTTTTTATGTGTTTTAAAGATATGTATGGACATCACATGAAGGTGACAAAGTGCTAAGGATATTAATTTGATCCCTTTGCAAAAGTGATTAAAAATTACTACTCTTCTGACCCTTGTTGTGTATATGAAAATCTATGAATTTGGTATCGCATGCATGCATTATTTAATCTGTTATCATAAACTTTGTTATCACTCCAAATATACATTATAAATTAACATTAAAACAAATTCTTTTCATTTTAATTTAAAAGTTTGTGTGAAATTTGATGAATTTGAGCACCTGTGAGTGTGAAAAAGATGGGGGGCTTTTGTCCTACCTGTATTTTTGATGGGGGGGGCTTTTGTCCTATTTGAAAATTTCATGGGGGGGGCTTTTGTCCACCTTGTCATTTTTAGAAGGGGGGGCTTTTGTCCGGGGGGGCTTTTGTCCTACACTCTATAAAAAGCAATGGCTAAGAAGTCAATATTAAACAATATAAATACAATCATAGCCCTGTCAAATTGGGCTGACTTCATTCTTATTTTGGTTAAATCTTCACAAAATGTCTTAAATTTTTCTGGTATGAAAATATATGATCTTTTCAATCGGAACATCTCGGTTATTACCAATAAAGATTTTTATCCGAAGTTTGAAGGAAAGGGCCGATAAGATTTGATTTTATAACACAGATTGACGCGTCCTGGTACAGGAATATTTGCATATTATCGCCTTATATAATACAGCGTAACGTCTATTTAACATGTTTTAACAAATTAACATTTAGACAAACTAATATACAATTAAGATATTAGGCACCTAAATGGAATTTTGTAAATGGTACATGTTTAAAAATTGAAGCATTGCAATTTATAATTGATAAAATTGTTTCAAAATTTGCATAATAAGTGAAAATAAAGAAACTCAAAATATTTTTATTAAATGAAGTATGCTTAATTTTGAGTTTTCTGCTCTAAAAGTTTCAATCCATGCAAAGTTTAAACGTTAGTTTAAATTTTCCTTCTTACATAAATTATCTTAAATTTCCGATCAGGGATGTAATACCTTAAATGAACGCAAAGGCAATATCACGATGCAATGTTGTGGAGAATATTTACAAAATGTACTTTAAACATAGGTTTACATTGAATTTAGGTCATGAATTGGACTTTATTTCAAAATATAAATAAATAAATGTTTCGTGACCTACTGAACGATGACTAAGGCAAAATAAACCTGGGTTAAGCCTCTTAGTACACTAAAAAAATATCTAATGTCCTGGTTAACTACCCAACATTTTTTATATAAAAAAAATCTTACATAAATATATAGAGAGATTCATTTAGGTAATACATGTAGAACTACGTTTGTATATTTTGTTTTAAAGGTTTTGATTTTGACGAGCGACAGACAGGATGAGGAAAAGGTTATCACTTTTTGCAGGTAATTGTTATTCGCAGATCCAGAGGGGTAGGGGCAGGGGGTCATGACCTCAACCCCTTTGGGATTTGGATGGTTTGTCTGAGATTTGAATTTAAACTTAGTGTTCTTTAAACGAAAATCAGCAATATTTGAATCACGGCTCCGTCCTGAAAACTAGTATAAATGCCCGCCCCACCCCCTAAAATATTAATACGTATGCATACCTGTGGTCAAAACAATACAAATGTACTATCTACCGTATTGTAGTTTAGCAAAAAGAGCGTTTTGATGCAGTTTGATAAGCAAAACGTTGAGATAATTTGACATAAAAAAACCCTTACCAAATTCAAAGAAATCATCACAGTCTACTTTACCAGGCGAACATGCACTTGTTTTTTGAGAATAAAGTTAAGACAATAAGATTATTAAGGCAGGCCTTTCTGAATTACTAACCAGTAGTTTCCAATTTCTCCAAGAGAGCTATTACTTATCTCATGATTTCTGAATCAGCATCGAGAGCAAAATGACACTTCATAACCAATGCCTTAGATCAACTGACACTGAAAGTTTTGCCTCGTTCGAGAATCTAGCCACCAACCCCTGAATAATAAGTTCGATGCTCTTCCATTTGAGCAAAACGGACACAAAATATTAATATGACTTAAATGTCAACATCATAGCCCTGTAGATATTGACATAAAATAAATGCATTGTTTAAAAGCCCATTTTTACCTAGAAATGCTAAAATTTTTATTTCTGAAAAAAAAAACTATCTTTTGTGTGTCGTAACAGTTTCCAAAACATACTCATATGCTTTATACATAAATCGTTTGCTTATTTTGCAGAGGATGCAAATGGTATATTTAATGAATAAATATTTTGCATGGTGGTTAAAATAGTACTTTGATTACATTTTGCTACCTTAAACGACACACAACTGCATGTTCAGCATTATTTTTTACAGTTTTTTTTATCAATTATTAAAACGTTTTGCATGTCTAAAGAAATGCAAAAGTATGGATTTGAGAGGTAAAATGTGCCTATAATGTTTACCATGTACATATGATCTTATCTCAATATAATTAAAATGAACCAAGTGATAGCAGTTACTTATTTTTCTAAATTATAAAGATATTGTGAAGGATCTGCCAAATGCCAAATGATAAAGATAAAGTTGTGTGATGAAATGATAAAGATAATGATGAACTAATAAAGATAATGTAGAAATAATAAATACCAAATGATAAAGATAAAGTTGTGTGATGAAATGATAAAGATAATGATGAACTAATAAAGATAATGTAGAAATAATAAATACCAAATGATAAAGATAAAGTTGTGTGATGAAATGATAAAGATAATGATGAATGTTGATTAGAACATCAGAATGTTTGTGTTGTTACGATAATTAATTCAGGTTAATGATTATTTGATAAAAGATAATGATGAAATGATGGTGATATCATCAGAATGTTTGTGTTGTTATGATAATGAGTTCAGAATTATAATGATAATACTATAAAGATAATGATAATGATGATGATGATAACATCATAATGTTTGTGTTGTTAAAAAATGATTTCAGAATAATAATGATAATTTGCTAAGATAATGATAATATAATGATAACGACGAAATGATGATAGTCGTCGCTGTGTGATAATGATGGTTTGATAAATATAATGATGAAATGATAATATGATTTAAGAATGATAATGGAAATTTGACAAAGATAATGATGATAATAATAATACCAGATCGATTCGATGGTATACATATTAATGTATTATTTATGTCATAATTGGTGAGGTGATATTGGCTATAAGTCTAACAAACGCAATGTCAATTATAATGTTGTTATTGGTCGGCGATCCGCTTTTGGCAACTTAAATGTAACATTTGCTATCACAGTATAGGTAGACCGCTGGCGGATACCTTTACCTTAATATTGACGATTAAGCTCCAAGTTTCCAAGTCTCTTTAAGGTATTGATAATTGGTTCCTTCTTTATACTGGTTCCTTCATTTTAAGCGGTGCATATCATAGACTGTGTTCAACACCAGACGGTGTTAGGAACACTATTGCTGGGAACATATGGGTGGTATGAAAATCGAGGATCTCGAACAAAGTATAGCCTACTTAACTTCCTTTAAGCAGAATGAACCCAAACCTGTATTCGTATTCATTGTGGAGGCAAGGATATAGGCCTTAAAACATCTTCGGCTATTATTGCGGATCTCAAAGTAATCATAGATATTATCAGAAGTAAGTTTCCATATACAAAACTAATTTGGTCACATAATTTACCATGGCGATCATGGCGTTATATCACGCTGACCGAGCAAGAAAACGTATAAAACAGCTCTATAGTCACCTATGTAATAAATGGCGGGGTCACTACCTAAAATACCGTTATATAAACTCTAGCCCCAATGTTCTTTAGGTACGACGATACACACTTGTCTCCCAGTAGCTATAATATATAGTAGAATCCCTCCTTAAGACCACCCCGGAATTAAGACCACCCCGCTATTAAGACCATTTTTTTAAAAGAATGGAATTTTCTGTTCTTTATATCAATGGTTACATGATCCAGAATTAAGACCACCCCGCTTATCCACTTTTAAGACCACCAGATTCGGTCCTAATTCATTGTTTTATTCTTAATTTGACCTCACTATTTAGACCACTGATATTTAAGTCAGCACCTACCTAGATCTTAAATTTGTTGTCATTGTCTGCTTGAATGCTCTTATGTATGACCTGATGCTAAATAATATTTCCGAGGCCATTTATTCATTCAGCCTATCTTCCCGATGTGATTTAGTGACGTAAAGACAGATTTGTCACTTTTATCAGTATTGGTTGTTAGTTATTCCTAAACAATTTATATATAAATCAGATTTCTAATATTAACTTCTAGAGTTTTCAACGTGGCTGGGTTTAGTCGTTATGTTAAACCGCTTTGGCGGAAGGTACTCTCATTCTTCGAGTCCCTTTTTGGCTGAAATTTAACATAACGTTTTTTCTATTTGCGACCGTTGTCGGAGCAAATATGATGTGTATTTAAAGTTCCTAAATTGCTTTTATACCCAGTCATGATGGAAATTATTCGCCAAAAGAAATAAAAAAGTTATTACAAAAAAAATGTTGTATTTTCTTCTTGTATAAGACTGATTTGCGATGTACAATGGCCTCTCGGGTTCGAACCAGCAACCTTCGTCCAGAACACTCTTTATTATGCATTCATTGGAAAATAAAATGAATAAATTATGTCGTAATATAAAATGATGCTAAGACCTATTTCCAGCAAAATATCAACATCTTAACCATTTGAAATCAATAAATCTCGAGCCTGCTATTCTTAATAATTAATGACGTGTTTTTCAAGAAGATTAACAATATACCCAACAAAGACATATACGTATTTTTATATATATATAATCATTCTTCAACTGATACTATTTTTGTGTTCACGGGTGAATAATTTGAAGAAAAACAAGTCGTCGTCTGCTTTACCTGTAAACAAATCAGATATATCCGGGCTTTTAACTGCAGTCGGATTATTTCTGTTTTCGATAATGTAGAAACAAGAGAAATGTCGTCTGCTTTTGGAATTATCATCCTCGTTGCCTTGGCGATTAGTTTGCCATGCGTCGAAGGCGGATTTTGGAGCTGGGCAAGGTACACGCTTCTTTTTTTAAACATATAAGGTCTAAATACGAACTGTAATACCGAGAAATAAATGCTTAACAATTTTATATTAAAGGCAAATTATGCCCCAGAAAAAAATAAATGTTTACTTCTTTAACGTGAATTTTATAATGTTTAAATAATGGTTAAAAAGAAATGTTAGATGCTTTTGTTACCTGAAAAAAGTAACGATAAATATGAAATAATTTGACGTAATAGTAGCAAAATGTAAATAAAGTATGTAGTAGTTTGACTTCCTTACACAAATACTAGTTTACTTTAACTCTACCTATTGCCAAAAAAAGCAAGAGATGAAAAATATGGTTCCGATAATTTGCCAATGAGTAACTTTTTGGATACTATGAAAGTACACCAAAATTAAAAAGCTTTGAAGAAATAAAATTAAAAGCATTTCTGAGGCATAATGGGCATAAAGATGCATGTGTCCATATTCACGTGTTTGTAATGTATGCAATGCTTTCATTTGTTGATAAGCAGAAATGGTACAGTATAGGGGCAATAGAAAGAAATCAGAAATTGGGTTATACAATAAAATCAGATATATTTCAATATAAGCGTTATACAACAAAATCAGATTTAATGCGATATAAGAGCAGAACCAAAAGAAAAATGCAATAAATTTCAGTAATGCAATATAGGGACAGTACAAAAAGAATCAGATATAATGCGATATAGGGACAGTACAAAAAGAATCAGATATAATGCGATATAGGGACAGTACAAAAAGAATCAGATATAATGCAATATATAAGAGCAGTGCAAGGAATAAAAAAATCAATATAAATGTAATTACTTTACAAGTAAAAAGCACCACAAAGGCGGTGCTGTATACTCCCGTATGAAACTTTGTTTGAGTAGTCAAACATAATATTTCAATAAGAGCAAAGACCCATTCACAAAACTTGACCGAAAAAGATGTCTATCTAAATTATTCTTATAATACTGACTGACCCGCAGGGAGGGAGCATTCTTTACACTATGTTCATTTGTCTACACCAGAATCATTGCATTGTACATTTCTGTATGCCGAAATGATTGCACTGCGCTTTTGTCTATGCTAAAATGGTCGCAATATGCATTTGTCTATGCTAAAATGGTCGCAATATGCATTTGTCTATGCTAAAATTATCACCACTGTGCAAATGTCTATGCTAAAATTATCACACTGTGCATTTGTCTATGCTAAAATTATTGCATCCTGCTTTTGTCTTGCTATAATCATCGCCATGGGCGTTTGTCTATGCTAAAATGATCGCATTGTACATTTATATATGCTAAAATGATCGCATTGTACATTTATATATGCTAAAATGATTGCATTATGCATTTGTCTACACAAAAATTATCACATTTTTCATTTGTCTATGCTGAAATGATCAGATTGTACATTTGTCTATGCTGAAATGATCGCATCGCGCATTTGTCTATGCTGGAATGGCAGCGTCGTACATATATGAATTTGCTAAAATAACCATGCGTTTGTTTATGCTTAAATCATAGCACCCTACTTCCTCACATTCTTTTGACCCCAAATTAAGAACAGATGCCGCAAGACGGTAAAAATATACAATTCTTCCTATTAGAAAAAATACATCTCTTTAAAGCATTACAATTATCATTTCGAAAAGTTTGTATTTTATGTTTTTATTTTATTTATTTATTTTTTTTATAAAAGTATATAATGCGGTGATAAATAGAAGATCGAATTCATGATTTTATTATTTTATTCTATCCATATTGATTTTAGTGATTATGAAAAAATAACAAACAAAAAAGACTCTCATTTGACGACCCTCTATAGATCACAAATGTTTCAGCGTTTCGGACAAATCGTATTTGGAATTTTTTATTAAATAATTATTTATGGCGCATGGAAATAATTGTATACGAAAAAAGGCACTTTTTTCTAAAAGCATGCTCATATGATAAGACAGAGTTAAATATTTAACAAAGTCACATACTCATATACATTTGTACATTTGTTTTATATTTATACATGAAGATCTTTATGAGTTGGCATTACATTATTCAGATAACAAAAATGTTCATAATGATAATAAGAGACCTCCTCAAAGAAATATTATTATAGTAATATATTTGTACCGATTTTGACATTTTTACATACACGTAATAGTTTCGGTAGACCAGGAAGACTAGCATAATGTTTGAACCGACCACAAAACTTAGAGAAATAAAAAAAACACATTTATAATCAATGGTCTTTTTCAATGTCTCACCGCTGATTCAGAAGTAATGGGTAACTAATGGAGAAAATGGTAAATACTGGTTAGTTATCCAAAGCAACCGGTTAAGTGGATCGGTCGCCAAGATACGACTAACCATTGTGTTCAAATCGGCGTAAAAAAATAGAAAAACAAACACATATATGTTCTATATGTGTGTGTTATTTTATGTACGAGATTTTCTCTCTGCCGCTGCCTTGACGTTAAACAAGATCTCGGATTCACTTTTCCTTTGCTTGTGGCAATATCGCAACCACTTTTTTGTCCTTTGCTATCAATCTTAACCGGTCTATTTTTTCCTTAACCGAAACCGTAGACGAATACAGGGCATCAGTTTACAGATGACAATAAGTGATAAAGAATTGCTTACAAGCGTCTACATATCGTGACTTTTTATTCATGGTACGTAAACATGGTCTATAAATAATTATAAAGATTTATAGGTTTATTGTTATTTTTAAAAAGAATCTGTGTATTTTATGCATAATGGAGTTCTTTGTAATGAGACAATCTCGTCTGCGTTTTTTCAACATTTTTTACAGCATGACACCGCTATTGTTCAATGTTATATATTACCAATGGAGCAATACTTTTATAATATATTTAATATATGTCATCAAATGTTTACTCCCCAGCAGAAAGAAAATTAAAGCTGCGTGCCTCCAGAAGAGCCCAAAATATTTCTTTAAAATCAAACTCGAAAAAAAATGTACTTAGTAAGTAAAATAAAAACATTCCAGATTGAAGTACTTTACATGTTATTAGCGATTAATAACAGATTTTGCAGTATTCATCACCCTATTTCTAATCAAAGACTTCCACAGTAATTGCTATTTTTTATCATATTTCTAATTCTTTTTGGATGTTTACGTGGATGGCTATTTCCGTTTGCAATGTTACTTTCTTTGTTCCCTTCACAATATTTTACATTTTAAAAACTTTCAAAATTTTCATAAAAAATAGCATGAATTTCGGGGCATTCTGCTATAATAATACGTGAACGAGTTTGATCAATGACGTAATTGACGTAACCTTAGTTTACGTTACGTACGTTGAAGATATAGTGACTTGGATGGGATTTTTTTGTCTTGAACATTATAGCAATTTCACACGGAATGATAACTATAGTGAAGATAACTACATCTTGGGTTGAACCTTGGACAAAATACAGAGACGGTTCTCCTTTATTTTGTATTATCTTTTAAGAAATGCCATTTTGAACATTGGACAAATACACTGAGTGGTTCACCTTTATCTTATATAATCTTTTAAGAAAAGCTATTCTCAACCTTGGATAATACACAAAGAGATTTTTTATAGCGCTTTTATTTAATATCATATTAATTTCAAGATAGTAAATCATTTGGGAATGAAAGTAAGTTTGACTGTACCTATCAAATATTGTTATGTAATCTCTATGTTTAAATTCGCACTCTATTACAAAATCGTGACAAAATATCAAGTTTAATGAATAGGCATAATGGTTATTTGAAACCTGTACTTAAATATGATCTTTAAAGTTGCGTCAGACTGGTGTTAGATTGTTCCCGGAATATGAAAGTTATCAATAATATCTTTTTAATGTTCCCAGCGCATACAAAGTCACCTTAGTGCAGTAACGGGTTAACTTCTTGTATAATTTAATAGGAGTTAACCTGTTACTGCACTACGGTGACAACATCCTGTTGAAGCATTATAAATCATACTTCTAATAAATGTGTAATAAAATAACATGATAACATTCAAATGCAAGTGGTTTATACCGAAAAAAAAAATAAAACATGGGTGCGTGTTTTGTCCAATTACAGTGCATTTAAATATTTAAATTGAAAATTAAACTTGCTATGATTTTCCGTGTGTGTGTGGGGGGGGGGGTATAAATTGATTTATCTTTACTAACAAATCAATGTATCATTATAGCGTAACTTTAATATTATTACTAATGTTTTAAATGCATTGACACATACATGTAAATTAAGATTCTTGTTTTCATTTTTTCCTTGTATTTTGATATGCAATAAGTATACACACTTTGTATAATGATTATATGCTCTTTAAATGTAAATTTACCAGCCATGTATTACTTTATTTTGTAATTCATCAATAATATGAAGATTTACTTTAAAGGAACTCCACTAAAGTCTAGAAAACATAACATTTGAATACCTTACATATATCACCTGGAGCTCTTAAAACAGAATACCTTACATAGATCACCTGGAGCTCTTAAAACAGAATACCTTACATAGATCACCTGGAGCTCTTAAAACAGAATACCTTACATAGATCACCTGGAGCTCTTAAAACAGAATACCTTACATAGATCACCTGGAGCTCTTAAAACAGAATACCTTACATAGATCACCTGGAGCTCTTAAAACAGAATACCTTACATAGATCACCTGGAGCTCTTAAAACAGAATACCTTACATAGATCACCTGGAGCTCTTAAAACAGAATACCTTACATATATCACCTGGAGCTCTTAAAACAGAATTACATGCCAAAGATTATTAAGAATTATACTCTGAAATAAATAATTGAAAAACGTATTTTTGTGCTATTCTTTGCAGTGTATATAAACGTTGCAACGATTTTCAGTTTTGTGTCATTTTTCAGAATTCATGTCAAATTATATCATTCGACGAGTACCTTTAATAAATACCTAGTGATACTCTGATTTTATGATAAATATATGTTTAAAGTTTTTGTTTTCAGAGGGTGGAGCGAGGAAGAGCCAGCGAACTGCCCGAGTAGAAACAACGTCACACATGTCTGCTCTTCCATCGAATCCAGCAATGGCACTTGCTTCACAATCAAATGTTGCGACGATTTTTCATACGATGAATCGTTCGAGTCGATTTCCGACAGTAGTTATGAAAGTTATGAAGAAAGTAGTCATGGACGCAGCTGTAGGTAAGCCTATGGAAGATATAGAGATTTTTTTTCTATTAATAGTATACGGGATTTGTTTTCATCGAGTGGTATGAAAATAAGTATTTCACGAGTGGCAGTAGCCACGAGTGATATCCCATGTTAAAATTTTCACCATGTTAAAATTATCTTATTACATTCTTAAATTTATATACGTGGCCATACCCTTTTTCTTTCAACATTTCATGCAAGTAGTTGTGTTGTGGACACTGATTTCCTAGCAGTTTCCGGTCCTTTTTCATTTTTAGTTCGGTAATGACAACAGTACTTAACCATCATGAATTAACTTGGTCGTAGGGTTTCTAAACTAATTATACAGTTATATTTTCAATAAAGACGGTTCTTTTAGGTTGACTTATTTTGGATTTTTTTAATCTATTTTTAGATTGTGCTACTCCTCTCGCACATGCGCACTGTACAAATGTTACCGGTCTTGCTGCGAACGTTATGAACGAGATGCCTGGGGGAGATGCAGTAAGTGTTTTATAAATATGTTTACTCGTATAATAAATATTTCAAGTTCACATATTACTTAAATTTTCACAGATAAAATCATGGCATCTATGTTATTTATATAACGGCTGCTGTAAATGTACGAATTTTCGTATTTCCTCGAATAAAGAATTTTGGCTGTATAAACGGTTATATGGCCTATCGACGTTGGTTATATAGTTTACAAACGTTTATACTGGGTCATTTAAACTGTCGAAAATCTTTATATTTAATTAATGATATTAGATCCTATAAAAGGTTTATTAACATGTTCAACATAACATGAATTATATACAATTTTATGTATTCATATACATGTTTTTGTAAAAGACCAGTTTTTTACATTCCAATCAAAGACTGTCCAATGAGTATATAAGATTAATGAGCGTCACTTTGGTAGGTAGTTGGTAGTCGAATATTCGAAATTCGAGTAATTCCCAAATATTAAACAGCTAGTCCTTGGAAATTAAAGCCACTATCACCAGCTTGAACATATACATTTTTAAGTAGATAATAAAGGAGGGGGCCTAGTCGGTTATTCATGCAATTCCCCAACTTCCTGTCAGCAGGTAGTTAATAATTCTAAGTTAACATGTTTATATGACAAGTGGGTGAATTCTACCAAATGCTATCACCCTACGTCGACCAAGTGCATGTTGGCGAACACATCTTTCTTGTTATAAATCCGTTACATTTATTTCGAGAAGTACATTTTAATGGGGAAAACATGCAAAGTTCGAATTACCAACTACCTTCTGGTAGGTAGTTGTTGATTCACGCGAATTACCATCTGGGGTCCTTTGGTCGATGTAGGGAGCCGCGGTGATACCATTTGGTAGAATTAATCCATTTTGTCATATATTTGTTACTTTTATTCTGTTTTTAAGAAATACATGTAATGTTCCAACCTTTTTTGGATGGTAGCTGGGGATACACGCGGATAACCAACTGATTCCCCTTTATGGAGACACATTGAGACAATGTGATTCAATAATGAAGAACACATCTATCTTGCTATATATCCGTTGCATTTATTCTTAAAACTACTTTCTGTTTTGAGGGAAAACATTAGTGCCCTATGTGTGAGGTCAGGTGTTTTGGTAGTGATCTGTGTGTGAGTAGTGTTCTGTGAGTCATCCTCGCCGTATGTAAGGTCAGTGTTCTGTGTATAAGGTTAACAAGGGTTTAACTAGTGTCCTCAGTTCTATTTTTGAGTATTTCCCCGTGAGTCATGTTCGCTGTGAGTGTAGTGTGCTGTGAGTATTGTCCTGTTTGTCAGTGTGTGAGTTGTGTCATGTGTGTCAATGTGTGAGTTGTGTCCTGTGTCTCAGTGCCTTATATGTCAGGTCAATGTTTTAGTTGTGCCCTTTGTTTTTCAGGGTTTAAGTAGAGTCCTCTGTGTCAGCTCATTGTTTGAGTAGTGTCCTGTGTGACAGTATGTGAGTTGTATCCTGTGTGTCAGTGTTTGAGTAGTGGCATGTGTATCAGTGTTTGAGTAGTGTCCTGTGTGTCAGTGTTTGAGTAGTGTCCTGTGTGTAAGTGTTTGAGTAGTATCCTGTGTGTCAGTGTTTGAGTAGTGGCATGTGTATCAGTGTTTGAGTTGTATCCTGTGTGTAAGTGTTTGAGTAGTATCCTGTGTGTCAGTGATTGAGTAGTGGCATGTGTATCAGTGAGTGAGTAGTGTCCTGTGTGTAAGTGTTTGAGTTGTATCCTGTGTGTAAGTGTTTGATTAGTATCCTGTGTGACAGTATGTGAGTTGTATCCTGTGTTTAAGTGTTTGAGTAGTATCATGTGTGTCAGTGTTTGAGTAGTGGCATGTGTATCAGTGGTTGAGTAGTGGCATGTGTATCAGTGTTTGAGAAGTGTCCTGTCTGTAAGTGTTTGAGTAGTATCCTGTGTGTCAGTGTTTGAGTAATGGCATGTGTGCCAGTGTTTGAGTTGTATCCTGTGTGTCAGTGTTTGAGTAGTGGCATGTGTATCAGTGTTTAAGTAGTGTCCTGTGTGTCAGTGTTTGAGTAGTATCCTGTGTGTCAGTGTTTGAGTAATGGCATGTGTGCCAGTGTTTTGAGTTGTATCCTGTGTGTCAGTGTTTGAGTAGTGGCATGTGTATCAGTGTTTGAGTTGTATCCTGTGTGTAAGTGTTTGAGTAGTATCATGTGTGTCAGTGTTTGATTAGTGGCCTGTGTATCAGTGTTTGAGTAGTGACATGTGTATCTTTGTTTGAGTAGTGTCCTGTGTGTAAGTGTTTGAGTAGTATCCTGTGTGTCAGTGTTTGAGTAATGGCATGTGTGCCAGTGTTTAAGTTGTATCCTGTGTGTCAGTGTTTGAGACGTGGCATGTGTATCAGTGTTTGAGTAGTGTCCTGTGTGTCAGTGTTTGAGTAGTATCCTGTGTGTCAGTGTTTGAGTAGTGGCATGTGTATCAGTGTTTGAGTTGTATCCTGTGTATAAGTGTTTGAGTAGTATCCTGTGTGTCAGTGTTTGAGTAGTGGCATGTGCGTCAGTGTTTGAGTTGTATCCTGTGTGTAAGTGTTTGAGTAGTGGCATGTGTATCAGTGTTTGAGTAGTGTCCTGTGTGTCAGTGTTTGAGTAGTATCCTGTGTGTCAGTGTTTGAGTAGTGGCATGTGTGTATCAGTGTTTGAGTTGTATCCTGTGTATAAGTGTTTGAGTAGTATCCTGTGTGTCAGTGTTTGAGTAGTGGCATGTGCGTCAGTGTTTGAGTTGTATCCTGTGTGTAAGTGTTTGAGTAGTGGCATGTGTATCAGTGTTTGAGTAGTGTCCTGTGTGTAAGTGTTTGAGTAGTATCCTGTGGGTCAGTGTTTGAGTAGTGTCAGTGTTTGAGACGTGGCATGTGTATCAGTGTTTGAGTAGTGTCCTGTGTGTCAGTGTTTGAGTAGTATCCTGTGTGTCAGTGTTTGAGTAGTGGCATGTGTATCAGTGTTTGAGTTGTATCCTGTGTATAAGTGTTTGAGTAGTATCCTGTGTGTCAGTGTTTGAGTAGTGGCATGTGCGTCAGTGTTTGAGTTGTATCCTGTGTGTAAGTGTTTGAGTAGTGGCATGTGTATCAGTGTTTGAGTAGTGTCCTGTGTGTCAGTGTTTGAGTAGTATCCTGTGTGTCAGTGTTTGAGTAGTGGCATGTGTATCAGTGTTTGAGTTGTATCCTGTGTATAAGTGTTTGAGTAGTATCCTGTGTGTCAGTGTTTGAGTAGTGGCATGTGCGTCAGTGTTTGAGTTGTATCCTGTGTGTAAGTGTTTGAGTAGTGGCATGTGTATCAGTGTTTGAGTAGTGTCCTGTGTGTAAGTGTTTGAGTAGTATCCTGTGGGTCAGTGTTTGAGTAGTGACATGTGTATCAGTGTTTGAGTTGTATCCTGTGTGTAAGTGTTTGAGTAGTGACATGTGTATCAGTGTTTGAGTAGTGGCATGTGTATCAGTGTTTGAGTAGTGGCATGTGTATCAGTGTTTGAGTTGTGGCATGTGTATCAGTGTTTTGCGTTGTATCCTGTGGGTCAGTGTTTGAGTAGTGACATGTGTATCAGTGTTTGAGTAGTGGCATGTGTATCAGTGTTTGAGTTTGTATCCTGTGGGTCAGTGTTTGAGTAGTGGCATGTGTATCAGTGTTTGAGTAGTGACATGTGTATCAGTGTTTGAGTAGTGGCATGTGTATCAGTGTTTGAATAGTGGCATGTGTATCAGTGTTTGAGTTGTATCCTGTGGGTCAGTGTTTGAGTAGTGGCATGTGTATCAGTGTTTGAGTAGTGACATGTGTATCAGTGTTTGAGTAGTGGCATGTGTATCAGTGTTTGAGTAGTGGCATGTGTATCAGTGTTTGAGTTGTATCCTGTGGGTCAGTGTTTTGAGTAGTGACATGTGTATCAGTGTTTGAGTAGTGGCATGTGTATCAGTGTTTGAGTAGTGGCATGTGTATCAGTGTTTGAGTTGTATCCTGTGGGTAAGTGTTTGAGTAGTGACATGTGTATCAGTGTTTGAGTAGTGGCATGTGTATCAGTATTTGAGTTGTATCCTGTGGGTAAGTGTTTGAGTAGTGGCATGTGTATCAGTGTTTGAGTTGTATCCTGTGGGTCAGTGTTTGAGTAGTGGCATGTGTATCAGTGTTTGAGTAGTATCCTGTGTCTCAGTGTTTGAGTAATGGCATGTGTATCAGTGTTTGAGTTGTATCCTGTGTATCAGTGTTTGAGTAGTGGCATGTGTATCAGTGTTTGAGTAGTATCCTGTGGGTCAGTGTTTGAGTAGTGACATGTGTATCAGTGTTTGAGTTGTATCCTGTGTCTCAGTGTTTGAGTAGTGACATGTGTATTAGTGTTTTGAGTAGTGGCATGTGTATCAGTGTTTGAGTAGTATCCTGTGTATCAGTGTTTGAGTAGTGGCATGTGTATCAGTGTTTGAGTAGTATCCTGTGGGTCAGTGTTTGAGTAGTGACATGTGTATCAGTGTTTGAGTTGTATCCTGTGTGTAAGTGTTTGAGTTGTATCCTGTGTATCAGTGTTTGAGTTGTATCCTGTGTATCAGTGTTTGAGTTGTATCCTGTGTATCAGTGTTTGAGTTGTATCCTGTGTATCAGTGTTTGAGTTGTATCCTGTGTATCAGTGTTTGAGTTGTATCCTGTGTATCAGTGTTTGAGTTGTATCCTGTGTATCAGTGTTTGAGTTGTATCCTGTGTATCAGTGTTTGAGTTGTATCCTGTGTATCAGTGTTTGAGTTGTATCCTGTGTATCAGTGTTTGAGTAGTGGCATGTGTATCAGTGTTTGAGTTGTATCCTGTGTATCAGTGTTTGAGTAGTGGCATGTGTATCAGTGTTTGACTTGTATCCTGTGTGTAAGTGTATGAGCAGTGTCCTGTGTGTAAGTGTTTGAGTTGTATCCTGTGTGTAAGTGTTTGAGTAGTATCCTGTGTGACAGTATTGAGTTGTTTCCTGTGTGTCAGTTTTTTAGTAGTGGCATGTGTATCAGTGTTTGAGTAGTGGCATGTGTATCAGTGTTTGACTTGTATCCTGTGTGTAAGTGTATGAGTAGTGTCCTGTGTGTAAGTGTTTGAGTAGTATCATGTGTGTCAGTGTTTGAGTAGTGTCATGTGTATCAGTGTGTGAGTAGTGTCCTGTGTATAAGTGTTTGAGTTGTATCCTGTGTGTAAATGTTTGAGTAGTATCCTGTGTGTCAGTGTTTGAGTAGTGCCATGTAAGTTAGTTTTTGAGTAGTATCATGTGTGTCAGTGTTTGAGTAGTATCATGTGTGTCAGTGTTTGAGAAGTGTCATGTGTGTCAGTTGTATCCTGTTTATAAGTGTTTCAGTAGTATCATGTGTGTCAGTGGTTGAGTAGTGTCCTGTGTGTAAGTGTTTGAGTAGTATCATATGTGTCAGTGTTTAAGTAGTTTCATGTGTATCAGTGTTTGAGTAGTGTCATGTGTGTCAGTTGTATCCTATTTATAGGTGTTTTAGTAGTATCCTGTGTGTCAGTGTTTGAGTAATGTCCTGTCTGTAAGTGTTTGAGTAGTATCATATGTGTCAGTGTTTGAGTAGTATCATGTGTGTCAGTGTTTGAGTAGTGTCCTGTGTGTCAGTGTTTGAGTAGTGTCATGTGTGTCAGTGTTTGAGTAGTGTCCTGTGTGTCAGTGTTTGAGTAGTGTCCTGTGTGTCAGTGTTTGAGTAGTGTCCTGTGTGTCAGTGTTTGAGTAGTGTCATGTGTGTCAGTGTTTGAGTAGTATCATGTGTGTAAGTGTTTGAGTAGTGTCATGTGTGTCAGTGTTTGAGTAGTGTCATGTGTGTAAGTGTTTGAGTAGTATCATGTGTGTAAGTGTTTGAGTAGTATCATGTGTGTCAGTGTTTGAGTAGTATCATGTGTGTCAGTGTTTGAGTAGCATTCTGTGTGTCAGTATTTGAGTAGTGTCATGTGTGTAAGTGTTTAAGTAGTATCATGTGTGTCAGTGTTTAAGTAGTATCATGTGTATCAGTGTTTGAGTTGCATCCTGTCTGTCAGTGTTTGAGTAGTGTCATGTTTGCCAGTATTTTAGTAATGTCCTTTGTTAGTGTGTGAGTAGTGTCCTGTATGTAACTAATGTCCTTTGTTAGTGTGTGAGTAGTGTCCGTTATGTAACTAGTTTCGTATGTGTTTGTGATTGAGTAGTGTCATGTGTGTCAGTGTTTAAGTATTGTGTGAGTTGTGTATTGGGTGTTAGTGCCCTGTGTTTATCAACTCAGTGTTTGAGTAGTGTCCTGTGTGTCATTCCAGTGTTTGAATTGTGCCCTGATTTTTAGTGAGTTAGAATTTTCTGTGTATCATTGTGTGAGTGGGTGTAAGTGTCTTGTATGTAAGGCTGTGAGTAGTGTTATTTGTGTGTACGTGTTTAATTAGTTCCAGTGTGTCAACTCAGTGTTTGAGTAGTGCCTCTTGTGTCCTTAGTGTCGTGCGTAGTAGGCTAGTGTTTTAGTACTGTCGTGTGAGTCAGTGTGTGTCTAAAGTGTCGTGCGTATAGTGGCCTGTGTGTCTGTAGTGTCGTGCGTAAAGCCCTGTATGTCTGTATTGTCGTGCGTAGGGTCGTGCGTATGGTGCCCTGTCTGTCTGTAGTGTCGTGCGTGTAATGGCCTGTGTGGCCGTAGTGTCATGCGTATATTGCCCTTTGTGTCCGTAGTGCCGTGCGTATAGTGACTGTGTGTCCGTAGTGCCGTGCGCATGTTGCCCTGTCTGTAGGGTCGAGCGTATGGTGCACTGTCTGTCTGTAGTGTCGTGCGTGTAATGCCATTTGTGGCCGTAGTGTCGTGCGTATTGTGACCTGTCTGTCTGTAGTGTCGTGTGTATAGTGCCCTGTTTGTCTGTAGTGTCCTACGTGTAATGCCATTGTGTCTGTAGTGTCGTGTGTATAGTGCCCTGTCTGTCTGTAATGTCGTGCGTATAGTGCCCTGTGTGTCCGTAGTGTCGTGCGTATGGTGCCCTATAGTGCCCTGTCTGTCCGTAGTGTCGTGCGTATAGTAGCCTGTGTGTCCATAGTACCGTGCGTATGGTATAGACCTGTGTGTCTTTGTGTGAGTAGTTTTGTGTGTGTGAATAATGTCCTGTGTGTCAGTTTAGTGTTTTAGTAGTGTCATGTGTGTCAGTGTGTGAGTAGTTTGTATTAATTAATTTGAATTTTTATTATTTTTTCATACGATTGTTAGAATTTTAGTGAAGTAGAAAGATTGTTAGTATTTTAGTGGAGTAGCGGGGGGTCGAACTCGCAACCCCTAGACTTGTAGTCAGACAGTGTTACCACTGGACCACAGCGCCCGCTCTGATTTATAACTATTTTGGAAGTTACTTTATACATAATCACATTAGTTAACTTGAAATTGAGTAAAGCAATTGAATTTTCACACCTAAATAATTAAATATAGTTGTTAAGTCTAAAGCGTTTTACAATTCCTTGCTCGAGGGGTTATGATAAATGACAAACAAGTAGTAAAAAGAAAATAAGAAAGACTGTTGACAGACAATAAAATACCATACCAGAAAACTAGTCAAAAATATTACTGTTGGTGGAAATTAGGAAATTATGTTCATAAAGGTATGTTTTTGCATACTTTCAATCCACGTTAATTACCAAATAAATGTCAAAATATGCATAAAAACAACAAAAACAGATATATCACAAGATATATGAATTCTACCAAAGGGTATCTACGTCGACCAGGAGACTCAGTTGGTTACTCGCGTGAATCCCAAACTACCAACCAGACGGTAGTTGGTTATTCGAACTTTGCATATTTTCCCTTCAAAACGAAAATATTTTTCTGGAATAAATATAACGGATTTATAGCAAGATAAATGTGTTCTACCAAATGGTATTACCCCACTTTTTACGTCGACCATGGGACTCAGAATCCCCAACTACCTATCAGAATGAAGTTGGTAATTTGGATATTACATGCAAGTTAACGGATAACAAATGCTACGTTTAAATAACAAGATATCTGTTTTCTATAATATGGTAACACCCCTTCACCAGCTAGCTATCCAGCTAGCTTACGGAACGTCGATGGTTCTACTCAGGTGCCCGGTCGTGCCTGAAATAATGCTCCTTGGGGCTTCTCCGCCAGTAAAGCTGGAATGTCGGTGTGACGTAAAAAACTCAAACAAAACCAAAACACTGACGTCAGAGACCATGCATCCACTATGTTCAAACATATCATACAGAATAAAGAAGAGGACCTTGTTGGTTTTTCAAATCCCAAGCTACCAACCAGTACTTTGTTACTCGCGCATGTTTTTCCTCAAAACAGAAAGTATTTTTAGGAATAAATGCAACGGATATATAGCAAGATAGATATGTTCTTCATGATCACCTTGTCTCCATATAGGGGAATCAGTTGGTATTCTGCGTGAATCAACAACTACCTATTCGAACTTTCCATGTTTTCCCCATAAAAAGTACTTGCCGAAATAAATGCAACGAATTTATAACAAGAAATATGGTTCTCCAACATGCAGTGAGCGAGCTGTTCAGTTCATGTGCTCAATAGACATCCTCTCTTGATAGTCCTGAAACACCCTGGCGAGCATTATCGTGTATTAGGATGAACTGATCGCCGACTGCTCCAGCATACAACCGAACCTGGTTGTCTAACATGTCGTCAATTTATCGCTGACCTGTCAGTGTGCATCTATTCAGCACAGCCAGGTCGGTTCTTCCATCCCAGCTGATGCCTCCCCACACCATAACTGACCCACCTCCTTAGCTGTCATCCTTAGCAATATTTTCAGCCTTTAAAACCGTTCACCTTGTCTTCTCCAGACTCTAGCACGCCTATCTGTGAAGTCTAGGCAGAATCTTGACTCATCAGTGAACAGAACATGGCCCACCGTGTATGCTCCATGGTCCATTCCAAACGGGCCTGGCGATGCCGACGTGTCAAGGGGATACGTATGCAAGGTCTTCTCGACCGCAAATTTACCTTGATGCAGCCTTCTAGGTACCGTCTACGTGGAAACACCGACCCCAGCAGTATCAGCAAGGTCATTTCGAACCGAAAACCTTGCACGACGTGCCTGAACGGCCATAAATCGGTCCTGAGCTGGTGTTGCGACCCTTTGCCGGTCTCCAGCATGCCTCCTGGCGGATGTACCATGTAGCCGGTAACCCTCCCAGGCTCTGGTGATGACGGTGTGGTGTACACCAAGCGGCGCACCAAATTGGCGGAAAGTGCCCCCCCCCCCCCCCGCTACACCATCCCTACAGCCCTCCGTAACTCTACGTAGACCAAGGAACTCAGTTGGTTATTTGTATGAATCCCCAACTACCTGCCAGAAGGTAGTTCGTAATTCGAACTTCTGGTAGGTAGTTAGGGATTCGCGCGATAAACAACTAGGCCCCCTTCTTTATTCTGTGTTTAAAACGTATTTTGTGTTCTAACATTGCATGCTGGTGATAGTGGATTGAAGTACTAACTACCACCTGTTAAATAGTTGGGAACTACGAATAACTAACTATCAGCTACCTTTGTGTGATTTTGCATGTTGTTAAACTAAGCCCTTTCCGTAACAAAGGTTCTGATTTATACATTGAGTGCTTTATTACAATTTGATTAACACTTTTAAAGGCCCATTAAGCCTCAGAAATGAAATGTTATTTTTTTCAAAATCTTTTATTTTTGATACCTTCCTATCTTTATAACACATTATTGCACATTCAGCGCTACTTTTCGTAGTTGTTCAACTTTGAGGTGCTGTAAATGCATTATCAAAATATCATTTAACACATATTAACGAAAAAACAACAACAAGAAATATTAATTTCTGAGGCATATTGTGCCTTTAAATCAAAAGAGGTATGATATTATAGAAAATATTTTCTCTGCGACAGTGAACAAAACATTTCTGATCGTAACGTTTGTTTTTGTTGTTGTTGTTATTTTTCTTTCAACAAATTCAGTCATTTTTCTACAGGTAACAAAACGGGAGAGCTTCAATGTGAAAATGGAGGAGTGTTACGTCATACATGGTGGGGAGTTCCGTTCTGCAAGTGTCCGAGTGGGTTCCGGGGTCACAACTGCGAAATCCGTAAGATTATTTTATGGAAATACATTAAGAACACTTAAATTGTTAATTTCAACGTAAGTTTAATCTGTAAGAATGAAAAGCACTATGTGTTGATAACCTTTGGGTTCTTATAATTTCACTTAATGTTCGATTTATCTATTTATGTTTACTTTTTCTATTGCATCATCACTGTGAAGGTCATATGGCGACTTTCCATATTTACTGGTGGAGGAAGACCACGTTTATTCCAGGAACAAACGGGCACCCGACCGACCCGGGCAACCATCGGCATTTCGTCACTAGCCAGATAGCGTCCTCAAATGAAAATATCCAAAGTCCATGATGGGATTCGAACCTAAAGCGGTGAGGGGCAAGTGGTTTGAAGTCAACAACCATACAACAACGGACGCTCCTGTGTTTAAAATTCATCATTTACAGAGTACCATTCAAAATAATGACTGTTTGCTATAGAAAATTCAAATAAGGGTTATAATTCAAAACAATGTCGGGAAACCAAATTTTATGGCATTTAACCACGTATGTGCATTATACTTAATACAACTCGAGGAAATTCATTAAACTTAGCATTCCATTACATTCGACAACAACAAATGCATGTAGATATCTATGTAAAATCAGATACATCCAGTTTCAACATATAAGTACTGATATAAAACAAACTTTTTTTTATATGTACTCTGATTTTTAATTATATATATCTTAACAATAAATCCAGAAAAATATTCAAAATATATTATAAAGTATATATTATTCTGCAAGCATGTCTGTACACCATAATTATATTAAAGAGAACAAAATATGAGCCGCGTCATGACAAAACCAACATAATGGGTTTGCGACCAGCATGGATCCAGACCAGACTGCGCAGCCGCGCAGTCTGATCAGGATCCATGCTGGTCGCTTACCAACTCTATTACAAGTAGAGAAACTGATAGCGAACAGCATTGATCCTGATCAGACTGCGCTGCGCAGATGCGCAGGCTGGTCTGGATCCATGCTGGTCGCAAACCCATTATGTTGGTTTTGTCGTGACGCGGCTCATATTTTCTGAAAGACGTTAAGAGCGAAGTCTAGACAAACAGCCTCGTTTTGAACATTCAATATAAGCAATGACGTCATAAGTTTTCAGCTGACGTAATTAAAATTGAACTTTTCTTCGCCCAGGATGGAGGCCAATTCGGTATTGTAGGGCTCGAATAGGTGCCGTAAGATATCTCTGGTCTCGGCATGTATGTTACCGGCGGTTTCTCTAGCTTTAGTGTTGTAATAATGCGGCATGTTAGCCATACGGTATAAATCCTTTGTTGGCAATGGGTCTGAAATTTTCATACAAGAAAAGCATTTCATGTAAATCAATATTCATGAATAATGAATGGTTTATCATGTAAATATAAGCTTAAGATAAATTGTTTTATCAATATCATTCAACATTGGTCATACATTATAGAAATAGGCACCACAAGAGACTTTATTGCATGACGTCATATCGACGTCGTGCTACCTTTTTTCTGCTGAGTTTTCTTTGAGATGTTTTCATTTGAAGAAAAGAGAAATCAAATATCTATTTTAACTGGTTCCATAAAACTTAAAGATATAGTTGACTAATTTTTTATCTCAAATGTTCACTAAAAAGAATGCATACATGACAAAAACCAAACCTAGTTGAAGAAATCTGAAAATGCCTAGCAACGTATCAGCAATATTTTTCGCTAAGTCTTGTGTTCTGGTGATATAAATTTGTTTCCTTGGGAACACTTTCAACCACTCTTTTATATGGACAGAGTAAAAGCTGCCGGAAATCGGTACCTATATCACAAACAAAATCTAGTTATAGCGCACGTATTGTGGTATGGTGGAAAATAAATCTGTTAAGATAGCAATAACTAATTAAAAAATATTTCTATTGTACATTTTTGTTTCTATTTTACAATACGATTGGTTTTATTTCACTAAATTGAAAATTTATTTTGTGTTTTAACGCCTGGTTAGTGTTGTTACAGATGGGGTTTTTTTTTACTCAAAATGACCTTTGAACTCATAATCCGTTTTAGGAGGATATATTTTTATGTATTAAAAATAACTCAGTTAATGTATATGTATATTGTAATCGGTCCATTTCGAAAACCTCACCTTTAGACTTCGAATTATATGTTCATCATATAGACAGGACTTTAAGGTACGATTTCTCGTGCATTTATCCAATATTGACAATGACGTCATCACGTTCTTATGGAAATCGTTGGCAGTTGATCCGAATGGTCCGTGTAAATAGTTACTAAATAATCTGAAAAGGCAACAACAACGTGAGCGACTTATTGTAGATTGATCCTTCCTGGCTCTAAAAGAAGGACTATTATGTAGTGAACTCCATAATGTGGGTTCGAATCCCAGAGGAGACGAAATTTAGAAACTTTCAAGATCAGATGCTTGTCAATATGTTAAGTTTGCCAGTGAAATATAATCTATATGTCTCACTTTATATCACTCATTACAAAAACTGATGCTTTTCAACAAACAAAATTAAAATATATTTTTTAAAGATTAAATACTTGTAAGTACAATTGAAAAGATATAATTATATTGAAAATATAAACAATATAAAATACAATCAAGTCAGGTTACATTTGAGTAAAAGTTGCTATAAGATAGTGCAGTCGGTGTGTCAATCTAAGGCGATTTGTAAATGGGACATTAATGTATGCAAGCTTGAAGAAAATGGCAGCAATAAATCGTTACACTTAAGAAAGTGGTAAAAAAGATTATATTTAGTTATAAATGTGACATTGACCTTTGAGGTAGGGACGTGGTTCTTTGACAGACACATTGTCTTAATGTAGTAGACATGTTTGAAAATCTCAAAATGCGTTCGGATACGATTTTTGTGTAATATGAGACATACGGATAGACAGACAAACAGACAGACGGACAGACGGATGCTGCGATTCTAATATGCCGTCCTTCGGGGGCATAAAAAAGAAAGAAAAATAAAAAAGAATAGCTTACCTGTCTATTGGATCTCTTAATATTAGAATTAATTTAATATCAGGATTGACGTGTTTGATTAAACTAGGCGTGTTCACAACCGGTAAATCAGCTGTAGGGTCATTCTGTGGGATCTTTTTCCATGACGAATGATCCCAGAAATCCATAGGATCACCGTGTCCTAAATATAACGCAAACGATAACTTCAAATGACTTAAAACATGGAAAATATCTCAGAATATAACAAGATTTTTTTTCCAATAGACACGCATGTCCCCACATTCTACTGTTTTGTCAGTCATTGGACGAACAGCGTGATAGCAGGACATCATTACAGTAGAACACCCACTTAGTGAGGGCATAATAAAAACAAGAAGGCAATGGTGGTCCTAGATAACTCACCTGAGATACGTTGCTAAACAAGAAAGGTTATAATTCTTCAATGCATATTAATTAGCTTTTTATGATCTATTGGGACCGTTTATGTCTAGATGTATGATTTATGAATTATGTAGAGGTATCCTAGGAAAGCTAAATATCAAATAACTCATATAACATTGTAGTTTCCACAAGATTTAAATAAAGATATGTTTATCTATACATATGTATATAACTCATTGATCCTCAGGTCAGATTTTTTTTACTACAAATAGAATGGTTTACAAATAACTTTTAAAAAGGTCTACAAGTCAATGCTACATGAAAAAAATCTAAGCTCAGTCCATTATATGACGGCGGGGCCAAAATAAACCGCAGGGTGTGATTTATACAACTTTTGTATATGGCAACAAGCTGATATCTCAGGTCATTTTTGTTTAAGCATGTGAAATATGTAAATCTATATATTAAAAGCTAGTGACCCCAGCCATGTTAACTACGGATTGAGTCAAAAGGAAGTGGTCTTTACATCTCGAACATTTTTTAGATAATTTGTCATCTTGAGTCTTTCGTCATAATTTTCATTTACACCGGAAATGACGTTACATACCGGTTACAGCAGGATGATATAACAGCGTTCCGTTTGTTGTTTTCCTTGTTACGTGTTCAATAGCGCGAGCATCAAAGTGATCAATGAAATTACCAAGAGTTATCTGCCTAATGGAAGACCTGTAAAAATTAGCTGAAATATAACAAAAAGATTTTTTAAGATTGAATATATTTATCATATAAAAAATATAAAACGATGTTGGAGACAGTTAATGGTAAAAAAATGGCTATAAACAGTTAACAATAATGTTATGTTAAAATGAAACTAACAATGACCACAATATTATGTTAATTAAATGAAACTTATTTCGACCATAATATCAGATCTATGTAATTAAAATCAAACCTACAGTCACCATAATATAAGATGATGATCTATGCAAAAATGAAACTTACGATGTCAATTATAATGTTCAAATGAAACTTACAATGACCACAATATTGTGTTAAAATGAAACTTACAATGACCACAATATTGTGTTAAAATGAAACTTACAATGACCACATTATTGTGTTAAAATGAAACTTACAATGACCACATTATTGTGTTAAAATGAAACTTACAATGACCACATTATTACTAGTATGTTAAAATGAAACTCACCATGACCATAGCGTCGCCATGTCCAGTACCACGTTTCTTTTCCCAGAAGTCCACGGTTCTTCAATATTTGGGGGTGATGGGTCAAGCGCTTGAATAAATCAGTAGTTCCGGTTTTACATACTCCGATGATGTGGAAGTATGGTAGGCATTTTATTTTACCACCCTGGTACCAGCATGGATTCAGGAAATCTGGTGAAAATTGTGGCCGTTTCTAGAACAAAAATCTTTTATAATCATGATATGAGCCGCGTCACGACAAAAACAACATAATGGGTTTGTGACCAGCATGGATCCACCGCGCGATCTGAACAGGATGCATGCTATTTGCTTACAAACCCTATAACAAGTAAAGAAACTGACAGAGAACTGCATGGATCCTGATCAGACTGCGCGAATGCGAGGGCTGGTCTGGATCCATGCTGGTCGCAAACCCATTATGTTGGTTTTGTGATGGTGCGGCTCATATATTTATATCATTGTCCATTTAAAAACAACTACATGTAGATAAGAAGATTTATTATAAATTTGCGACTTTTATTTTAGTGATCTTCATTTAAATTCAGCAAGCCCAATATCAAATTCAGCATGTGATTCAATTTGTCACATAACTCATTTGTATCACGGTAAAAGTAAGTTTCAAATTTTCACATAACTCTTTACTAGTATTTCAAAACAGGACATTCTAAATTATTCTTATTGTTAATCGCCATGTGACGGAGTTCCTTATTTTTTCCCTTTCACTTCTTTTTACATATAGAAGGAAATCGATGATAACGAAAAAAATAACTTACCATACAAAGTATATCTTCTACCCCTGTTACTCTAGTTGAACAGTTTGAATCTAAAATAAATCGGTTAACAGGTGATGTTGATGAATTTGAGTTTGTTCTTGTAATACTAGAAGTCATATTACTTGTTTGATTTATTGTCCGTTTGTTGTTGGTAGATTCCCTGGTCTCATTCGACACATTGTTTCCAACATGTTTATTATCATTTGGTGGCGTCACATTACCTGTTTGATTTGCTGTTCGTTCGCTGTTGGAAGAACTTTGAGTCTCATTCAACACATTGTTTCCAACATGTTTATTATCATTTGGTTGCGTCACATTACCTGTTTGATTTCCTGTCCGTTTGCTGTTGGAAGAACTTTGAGTCTCATTCGACACATTGTTTCCAACATGTTTATTATCATTTGGTGGCGTCACATTACTTGTTTGATTTCCTGTCCGTTCGCTTTTGGAAGAACTTTGAGTCTCATTCGACACATTGTTTCCAACATGTTTATCAACATTTTGTTGCGTCACATTACTTGTTTGATTTCCTGTTCGTTCGCTGTTGGAAGAACTTTGAGTCTCATTCGACACATTGTTTCCAACATGTTTATTATCATTTGGTGGCGTCACATTACTTGTTTGATTTCCTGTCCGTTCGCTTTTGGAAGAACTTTGAGTCTCATTCGACACATTGTTTCCAACATGTTTATCAACATTTTGTTGCGTCACATTACTTGTTTGATTTCCTGTTCGTTCGCTGTTGGAAGAACTTTGAGTCTCATTCGACACATTGTTTCTAACATGTTTATTATCATTTGGTGGCGTCACATTATTTGTTTGATTTCCTGTCCGTTCGCTGTTGGAAGAACTTTGAGTCTCATTCGACACATTGTTTGCAACATGTTTATTATCATTTTGTGGCATCACATTACTTGTTTGATTACTTATGGAAAGAGTCTTTACAATTCCATTTTGTTCAGTTTGCTTTACAACTATTTCAGACGTTTTGGCACTTCCTGTATCACTGTTTTCTTTATCGGCTGGTTGATCACTAATATCAATATTTTTCTGCAGATTTTCTGATGAATTATTTCCAAGGTTTTCATAATTTTTCTGATTCTTGCCAATTCCAACAAGTCCTTTGGCTTGCGAGTTGTTTCTTTTCGTTACATTGTGTAATTCTTCATTTACTTTATTTGAATTCGGTTCAGACGGTTCATTCATTGATATGGCAGGATGTTTATAATCTTTTGTGTCAACTTCTGTGGGCATTTCTTCTCCGGTTGGAATATTCTCATTTATAAGGGCTGCTTTATCAATTAGATCGTGACTGTATGCAGGTATTATAAAATCTTCTTGGATCGAACTTGTATTAACTTCAGCATCTAAGATTTCGATCACTTTATCACTTTCTATGACATATTTTGGTATGGTGTCTAGATGCTCTGCTTCACCGAAGTCTGCTTTCTTTAAAACTTCAGAAATATTGTTTAAAAAGCCATGCTTTTCATGAACATGGACTGTTGTTTGGTTATTAATTGATTTAATATTGTTTATTGTACTTCGATTATACAGATTTGCCAATTTGTAGTTTGTATTATTTGCTTTAAATTTTGCTGTAGTATTATTAAGCACGTGGTTTTGCCTTTTCATTACGTCATCAACTTTTGTTTCACTGTCTGAATTGTGACGAGATTTATTATGACGTAAAACACTTGCGTTTTGCGTTTTGACTTTAGGTAACATTAACTTTGTTACGTTACTCGTGTGTTTTTTGACGGTTTCAGTTAAACCACTTTTCAACTGGAATTCATGGGCTAACGAACCATTGGTTATTTTGGACTGGTTTGAAAATATTTCGGGTTGCGAGATAAACAAGAAGTTTACAGAATTATTACGAAACTGAGTCGCAATTATGTAACGTTCGTACGTTAAGCTAAAATGAGCCAAATTTGCCGAGAATAAGAGGAACAGCCAGCACGTACCCATCAACATGACACAAAGTTTACGTTTTGACACATCTACCTGTAGAGAACACAAATATAAGATATTAGTTCAAATAAACAAGTTGCACATAGGACAACGTAACATCCGGCACGAGTTTCGTTACCTGGTGATTATGGTTATATCCGATCAGACGCTAATCAAGCAAAAATGGATGGATCTTCACAAACTTTTGTGTGTCTAATATTAAAATTGCAGTAAAACACAAAATATACACAATTTATGTACTTTAAAATGGCTTTTTTGTGTGTTATACACCAGTCAATGTCAACCCCGCCTCCTTCAGTCTCTGTGTATATAATACCCTCGGTAAAAGACCCGCCCTGCGAATACCTTAAAATTCTAAGCTTCTATTAAACTTCTGCATCTGTTAAATGTCTCGCACTGCATACGGATATAAATTTTTTGATCCACAACATAACCACTGCATTGACCCATGTCTCATTTTCACATCCCCCCCCCCCCCATTGATCCTGTCCTCCGGGGTTATAAGTATAATTCATAATATTTGTTTCCATAGAAAATAACTTTTGCAAACACTAATGTAACTGAGAGATAAAATAATCATAACAAACTGTAATATGAAGGGGAGGTCACTGCATACTGTTTAAGAGTGAATATTTATTCAAAATGCGAGTTATTTATCTTGATCAATACACTGGAAAACCATATGCTTATGAAGTAAAATACTTTAAAGTACATATACTTAAACAAATGCACTAAGTCTTTAGTCATATAATATTATCTAAGAATGTCGGATTGTTTTACATATATTTATAATTATGACACCAGTAATTCTTTTTTTGTTAAATGTCCCTAAAGGCCCATTATGCCCTGGATACTGTTATTCTAATTTTTCAGAAACCTTTCCAAAAATGTTTCTCACCGGCCAATTACAGGAATCATCTTTATCTTCTGTTGGTTTTTGACAATAAGTATGTGTAGTACAGTGACTGTTATAAAATGATTTAGTATTTTATATGGAAGTCAAAGTACTTATTTGTTTATACTTTACTATCTTTAAGACAAATAATTTCACATTTAGCGTTAGTTTTTTCTAAGAACAAGGATCTAACCAGCTAACATGCTCTGAAAGCATTTATGAAACGTTATACAACTAATGTTTGCCCTTTCTAATGAAGTTAAAATGTATTCGTTTCTGAGACATATAGTGTCTTTAATAAAAAGACTTAAAATGTAATATGTGAGAAGTTAGCAGTTAACAGTGAGCTAAGCAAAAAGGCATTACGATTTATATAGGGAAATCAATGATCTGCTGTTATGCTCAGCTGGGTAAACAATCTAGCAGAGCATTCCAAAATAAAGTGTAGAAATGCTTTGCTGGTATGCTCAGCTGCGTAAGCAATCTAGCAGGCCATTACTAAATATAGTGTAAAAATGCTCTGCTGGTATGCTCAGCTGGCTAGGCAATCTAGCAGGGCATTCCTAAATATAGTGTAAAAAATACCCTGCTGTTATACTCAGCTGGCTAAGCAATCTAGCGGGGCATTCCAAAATATAGTGTAAAAAGCTCTGCTGTTATGCTCAGCTGGCTAAGCAATCTAGCAGGGCATTCCAAAATATAGTGTAAAAATGCTCTGCTGGTATGCTCAGCTGGCTAGGCAATCTAGCAGGGCATTCCTAAATATAGTGTAAAAAATACTCTGCTGTTATACTCAGCTGGCTAAGCAATCTAGCAGGCCATTCCTAAATATAGTGTAAAAAAGCTCTGCTGGTATGCTCAGCTGGCTAAGCAATCTAGCAGGGCATTCCAAAATATAGTGTAAAAATGCTCTGCTGTTATGCTCAGCTGGCTGAGCAATCTAGCAGAGCATTCAAAAATAAAGAGTAGAAATGCTTTGCTGGTATGCTCAGCTACTAAGCAATCTAGCGGGACATTCCAAAATTTTGTGTAAAAATGCTCTGCTGTTATGCTCAGCTTGGTAAGCAATCTAGCGGGCCATTCCAAAATATAGTGTAAACATGGCCTGCTGGTATGCACAGCTGGCTAGGCAATCTAGCAGGGCATTCCTAAATATAGTGTAAAAATCCTTAGCTGTTATGCTCAGCTGGCTAAGCAATCTAGCGGGACATTCCAAAATGTAGTGGTAAAATGCTCTGCTTAATTGCACAGCTGGCTAGGCAATCTAGAAGGGCATTCCTAAATATAGTGTTAAAAATGCTCAGCTGGCTAGGCAATCCAGCAGAGCATTCCTAAATATAGTGTAAAAATGCTCTGCTGGCAAGCTCAGCTGGCTAAGCTATCTAGCAGAGCGTTCCAAAATATAGTGCGAAAAATGCTCTGCTGGTATGCTCAGCTAGCTAAGCAATCTAGCAGGACATTCCTAAATATAGTGTTAAAAATGCTGAGCTGGCTAGGCAATCCAGCAAAGCATTTTGAAAATTAGTGTAAAAATGTTCTGCCGGAATGCTGAGCTGTCTAGGCAAACTAGTAGAGCATTCTTAAATAAAGTATAAATTTCGTTGGTCTGCAACTGATTATTTGGCACTCATAGACTTTCTAAAATATTTAGTGCCAATGCAGATAATGACATTTTTTACTTCTACGGGACCCTTAAGTGTCTATTTCTTTGGTCTCCGACTGATTCTGGGACGATCGCAGACTTTCAGGAATTGTTGGTGTTAATGCAGATAATGACATTTGTGAATTTTTAGGACCATCCAGAGTCCATTTTGTTTCTGGAACACTCGCAGACTTTCAGAAATGTTCGGTGCCGATGGAGATAATGACATTTTTACTTCAAAAGGACCCTCCTGGGTATATTTCGTTGGTCTGCGACTGATTCTGAGTCACTCGCAGACTTTCAGGAATTTTGGTGTCAATGCAGAAAATGATATTTCTGACTTATTGGGACCTTTCTGAATCCATTTTTTGGGTCTGCGACTGATTCTGAGGAACTCACAGACTTTCAGGAATTTTTGATGTCAAGGCAGATAATGACATTTTTTACTTCTAGGGACCATCCATGGTCCATTTTTTTGGTCTGCGACTTAATCTTTGACAGTCACAGACTTTCAGGAATTGTTGGTGCCAATAGAGATAATTACAATTTATGACATTTTTGACCATCCAGAGTCTATTTCGTTGGTCTGCGACTGATTATTGGGCACTTGCAGACTTTCAGGAATTTTTGGTGCTAATGCAGATAATGACATTTTAGGGTAAAAATGCTCTGCTTATGACTAAGGGGTCCTTAAAAGTAAAAAAGTCATGATCTGCAATGGCACTAAACATCCTGAAAGTCTGCGAGTCGCAAGGAATCAGTCGCAGACCCAAGAAATGTACTCTGGCGGTTCCCTAAAAGTCAAAAATGTCATTATCTCCATTGGCATCAAAATTCCTGAAAGTCTGCAAGTGTCCCAAAATCAGTCGCAGACCAGCGAAATGAACTCTGGTGGGTCGCTAGAAGTCAAAAATGTCATTATCTCCATTGGCACCAGAGATTCCTGAAAGTCTGCGAATGTCCCAGAATCAGTCGCAGACCATAAAAATGGACTCTGGCGGGTCCCTAGAAGTAAAAATTGCCATCATCTCTATTGGCACCAAACTTTCCTGAAAGTCTGCGAGTGTCCAACAATACGCTGCAGGCCAATGAAATGGACTCTTAAATGTCCCTAGAAGTCAAAAATATGATTATTTCCATTGGCACCAACCATTCCTGAAAGTCTGCGAGTGTCCAAGAATCAGTCGCAGACGACCAAAATGGACTCTTGAGGGTCCTTAGAAGTCTTAATTGTCAATATCAGCATTGGCACCAAAATTCCTGAAAGTCTGCGAGTGTCCTTCAAAAAGTCGCAGGACAATGAAATAGTCTCTTAAAGGTCCTTAGAAGTCAAAAATATCATTATTTCTATTGGCACCGAAAATACCTGAAAGTCTGCGAGTGCCTCAGGATTGCCTAGAAGTCGAAAATGTCAATAAAACTTTGGCAACAATAAATCCTGGAACTCAGAATTAGTCTGCCAACTGAGCATTCCACCAGAGCATTTTTAACTATATTTCGGAATGCCCTGCTAGATTGCCTAGCCAGCTTAGCATTTCACCAGAGCATTTTTACACCATATTTAGTAATGCCCTGCTAGATTGCCTAGCCAGCTGAGCATTCCACCAGAGCATTTTTTCACTATATTAAGGAATGCTCTGCTATAGTGCCTAGCCAGCTGAGCATTCCAGCAGAGCATTTTTACACTATATCTAGTAATGCTCTGCTAGATTGCCTAGCCAGCTGAGCATTCCACCAGAGCATTTTTTCACTATATTAAGGAATGCTCTGCTATAGTGCCTAGCCAGCTGAGCATTCCTGCAGAGCATTTTAACACTTTATTTAGTAATGCCCTGCTAGATTGCCTAGCCAGCTTAGCATTCCAGCAGAGCATTTTTACACTATATTTAGTAATGCTCTGCTAGATTGCCTAGCCAGCTTAGCATTCCAGAAAAGCATTTGTTCACTATATTTAGTAATGCTCTGCTAGATTGCCTAGCCAGCTTAGCATTCCAGCAGAGCATTTTTACACTGTATTTAGTAATGTCCTGCTAGATTGCCTAGCCAGCTTAGCATTCCAGAAAAGCATTTGTTCACTATATTTAGTAATGCTCTGCTAGATTGCCTAGCCAGCTTAGCATTCCAGCAGAGCATTTTTACACTATATTTAGCAATGCCCTGCTAGATTGCCTAGCCAGCTTAGCATTCAAGCAGAGCATTTTTACACTATATTTAGTAATGCCCTGCTAGATTGCCTAGCCAGCTTAGCATTCCAGAAAAGCATTTGTTCACTATATTTAGTAATGCTCTGCTAGATTGCCTAGCCAGCTTAGCATTCCAGCAGAGCATTTTTACACTGTATTTAGTAATGTCCTGCTAGATTGCCTAGCCAGCTTAGCATTCCAGCAGAGCATTTTTACACTGTATTTAGTAATGCTCTGCTAGATTGCCTAGCCAGCTTAGCATTCCAGCAGAGCATTTTTTTTCACTATATTTAGGAATGCTCTGCTATAGTGCCTAGCCAGCTGAGCATTCCTGCATAGTATTTTAACACTTTATTTAGTAATGCCCTGCTAGATTGCCTAGCCAGCTTAGCATTCCAGCAGAGCATTTTTACACTGTATTTCGTAATGTTCTGCTAGATTGCCTAGCAGCTTAGCATTCCACCAGAGCATTTTTACACTATATTTAGGAATGCCCTGCTAGATTGCCTAGCCAGCTTAGCATTCCAGCAGAGCATTTTTACACTATATTTAGCAATGCCCTGCTAGATTGCCTAGCCAGCTTAGCATTCCAGAAAAGCATTTGTTCACTATATTTAGTAATGCTCTGCTAGATTGCCTAGCCAGCTTAGCATTCCAGAAAAGCATTTGTTCACTATATTTAGTAATGCTCTGCTAGATTGCCTAGCCAGCTTAGCATTCCAGCAGAGCATTTTTACACTGTATTTAGTAATGTCCTGCTAGATTGCCTAGCCAGCTTAGCATTCCAGCAGAGCATTTGTACACTATATTTAGTAATGTCCTGCTAGATTGCCTAGCCAGCTTAGCATTCCAGCAGAGCATTTTAACACTATATTTAGTAATGCACTGCTAGATTGCCTAGCCAGCTGAGCGTTCCAGCAGAGCATTTTTTCACTAAAGCTAGGAATGCTCTGCTAGATTGCCAAGACAGCTGAGTATTGCAGCAGAGCATTTTTACACTATATTTAGGAATGCCCTGCTAGATGCCCAATACAGCTGAGCATTACAGCAGATCATTACCTTCCCTATATAAATTGAAATGCCTTTTTGCTTAGCTCACTGTTCACTGCTAACTTCTCACATATTAAAATGTATTTGAAATATATTTTAGCTAAATGCATGTGTAAGAATGGAGGTGATTGCATTGTTAAGGACGGACGGCCATTTTGTAATTGTACAGATGGTTACTATGGCGACAGATGTGAGAAATGTAAGTTATCATTATTTTTAATGACCATCTGATAATAGTATCTAATTTAAGTGAAGAAACCCCTTTTTTTTCTGTTTAAAATGATTCTGTTATCATATTCTAACAACATGCCAAGTTTAAAGAAATTTTATTGAACAGTTTTAATTTTGCCAATATCTGTATATGTCCTAATATTTTGTTAAAAAAATTGTACCTTGGTATATTTTGAAGGTGTAGCAACACAGCACTGCCTCCGAAACTTCCGCAAGATTCGCCTAAGAAACATGACCTGTCCTGTTTTTTCCTTTGATATACAAGTGATTCAAAACACGGTCCTTGTATTCATTCACTGTTTGTAACTGTATGTTACCAATGGTTAGGACTATCTGAAACACTATATGAAATCACGAGAATTCCATGCAGAAAAATGTCAAAATTGAAATCTCGTGATTTTCGTGTTCGAATATCGACAATTTTGACTAACGGTACTCATTTTCTTGAAATTGAAATAGTTATATTTCATGATATAAAAGTGTTATTCTATACTAAAATTACCAGAGAAAAATAGCATTCTCGAAAGTATTGTTATGTTATAATAGACTAAAAAACTTCCACTGTTCATTGAAGTCACAGGGGTTTCTCATATCTTGAATATATTTAAATGATCTTATCTATTATGCACCAAAACCCATTCCTTAGAGAGAAGAGGTGAAAATTGAACGGCTTTTTTACTTCCAAACAGTCAAAGCAAATGTTTTAAATTCGGTAATGTATGTTTTTGCGTCACACATTACTATTATTTGACCTCAATGTTCACTATATTTAGTCCAAGCGGACCGGGTAAGAGACTCCATGGTATTTTTTAGGGGGGGGGGGGGGGGGGGGGGGTCAATTTAAGCCTGACTTACAAATAGCTAAATTTAATGTCAGTTTCGATCACGTGATTTGTGTTTTTATTTATCTGCTGCAGCTAACTGCACTCTGAAATGTTACAATGGAGGTTGGTGCTACAGATATGGCAGTAACGAGTTTTGCTGGTGCCCACGTAGGTTCATCGGAGACCAGTGTCAACAACATTGTAAGTAGAATAGTTATGTTAAAGGGACTTCACTCAGATTTTTTTACATGGCAGGACTGGAAATATTTTTTCAAGATTAATGTTCTATTCCATGTAGGTACAGATGAATAAATTGTGTTCAAAATGTCAGATTACTCTGTTTTTCCGGGACAATTATTCCAATTGCGAAAAATGACCAAATATTGAAAAAGGTTACAATGCTTTTCACTCAAATAAAGCTAAGAATCGCACTAAAAAATCGATTTTGAATTTAATTCCGAGTATATTTTAGCAGGATTTTCCATTTTTAGCGCTTCACTTGATATGTGTAAGAATTTTGAATTCTATGCTGTAAGATGTGTTTTATTTGAGGTAATCTTACTGCAATACTTTCCCGCCATCGGCTAATAACGTAATAAGAACGTTGTTTTTTCAAAATATTCGGTATTCAATAATTTTTAACCGTTTATAATCGGAATTTAATACATAGCGATTGTAAACACTCTAATGATCTAGGTTTTGGGAACGATTTGCTACGATATTTGCCGATGTAAGAATTGTTTTGGCGTAAAGCATTACAGTAAGACTACTTTGACGAAGCTAGGGGCACCTGCAATGCACCAAACATCATCGCTTTGATAATTGGCCCGGTTATTTTATTATGCCCCAATTTCGAAGAAAAGGGGGTATATTGCTTTGCACTTGTCGGTCCGTCGGTCCGTCGGTCCGTTGGTCCGTCGGTCCGTAGACCAAATGGTTTCCGAGTGATAACTAAAGAACCCTTAGGCCTAGGAACTTCAAACTTGGTTTGGTGATTGGTCATGACCAGTAGATGACCCCTATTGATTTTGGGGTCAAGGGTCAAAGGTCAAGGTCACATTGACCTTGTAAGCAAAAACGGTTTCCGATCAATAACTAAAGAACCTTAAGGCCTAGGAACTTCAAACTTGGTAAGGTGATTGGTCATGACCAGTAGATGACCCCTATTGATTTTGGGGTCAAAGGGTCAAAGGTCAAGGTCACATTGACCTTGTAAGCAAAAACGGTTTCCGATCAATAACTAAAGAACCTTAAGGCCTAGGAACTTCAAACTTGGTATGGTGATTGGTCATGATCAGTAGATGATCCCTATTTATTTTGGGGTCAAGGGGTCAAAGGTCAAGGTCACATTGACCTTGTAAGCAAAAACGGTTTCCAATCAATAACTAAAGAACTTTAAGGCCTAGGAACTTCAAACTTGGTATGGTGATTGGTCATGATCAGTAGATGACCCCTATTGATTTTGGGGTCAAGGGATCAAAGGTCAAGGTCACATTGACCTTGTAAGCAATAACGGTTTCTGATCAATAACTAAAGAACTTTAAGGCCTAGGAACTTCAAACTTGGTATGGTGATTGGTCATGATCAGTAGATGACCCCTATTGATTTTTGGGTCAAGGGGTCAAAGGTCATGGTCACATTGACCTCTTGGGTAAAAACGGTTTCTGATCATTAACAAAAGAACCCTTAGGCCTAGGAACTTCAAACTTGGTATGGTGATTGGTTATGACCAGCAGATGACCCCTATTGATTTTGGGGTTAAGGGGTCAAAGGTCAAGGTCACATTGACCTTGTAGGTAAAAACGATTTCCGATCAATAACAAAAGAATCCTTAGGCCTAGGAACTTCAAACTTGGTATGGTGATTGGTCATGACCAGCAGATGACCCCTATTGATTTTGGGGTTAAGGGGTGAAAGGTCAAGGTCACATTGACTTTGTAGGTAAAAACGGTTTCTGATCAATAACGAAAGAACCCTTATGCCTAAGGACTTCAAACTTGATATGGTGATTGGTCATGATCAGTAGATGACCCCTATTGATTTTGGGGTCAAGGTGTCAAAGGTCAAGGTCACATTTACCTCTTAGGAAAAAACGGTTTCCGATCAATAACTTAAGAACCCTTAGGCCTAGGAACTTCAAACTTGGTATGATGATTGGTCATGACCAGTAGATGACCCCTATTGATATTGGGGTTAAGGGGTCAAAGGGCAAGGTCACATTGACCTTGTAGGTAAAAATGCTTTCAAATCAATAACTTAAGAACCCTTTGGCCTAGGAACTTCAAACATGGTATGGTGATTGGTCATGACCAGCAGATGACCTATTGATTTTGGGGTCAAGGGGTCAAAGGTCAAGGTCACATTTACCTTGTATGTTAAACGGTTTCCGATCAATTAACTAAAAACGCTTAGGCCTAGGAACTTCAAACTTTGTATGATGATTGGTCGTGACCAGCAGATGACCCCTATTGAGTTTTGGGTCAAGGGGTCAAAGGTTAAGGTCATGACCAGTAGATACTTGATAACCCTTATTAATTGTTTGATCACTGGGTCAGAAGTCATGCATAATAACCTTTTCACATGACTAATTAGCTGCTGATAGGGGGCATACATGTTTTACAAACATATCTTGTTTTTAGTGGGTTTCGACTAACAATATTACCTAACGCATCAGAGCAACACACAAGAACCTATAGCTCACGTGCTAGTGATATATAGCAAGGTTGTGTCAAATCACATTTATCACCGATATACATATATGGCAGTATTATGTCCAATCACATACTGGTGATATGTGGGTTAATTGTCAAAGCACATTTATCAGCGATATATATCAATCATGTGTTAAATCACATATATCAGCGATATAATTACAATATTGTGTCAGATCACATATATTTACGATATATGGCAATATTGTGTCAGATAACATATATCAACGATATATGACAATATAGTGCCAGATAACATTTATCAGCGATATATGGCAATTTGGTGCCAAATCACATATATCAACGATATATAAAATTGTATCAGATAATATATAAGAGCGATATATGGCAATATTGTGCCAAATTACATATATCACTGAAATATGGCATATTGTGCCAAATCACATATATCATCGATATGTGGCAAAATTGTGTAAAATCACATACTGCATGTGTTATGTGGATTAATTGTGTCGAATCACATGCCAGCTCAGTACTATATAGATAAATTATATTGCGTAACCGTGTCAAATCATATACCGGCGATATACAGTCTTACAATTTATGTCCAAATCAGCTACCAATGCATCGGGACGGATTTAGAGAAGTATCATAATGCAAAGACTACGTATGTTTTATATTTTCATTGTTATTCAAACAGACAAGAATCCAGACACGTGTCCTCTGCCAAAAGAAGATGATGGCACGTGTCAGTGTCAGTGCTCGAGGAACTCTCATTGTAAGGAAGACGAGGTTTGTTGTAAGGAGGGATGTAGCTCGTTTTGCCGCAAGAAGAAGCAAGACTTCTGTGAATATGAAGGGAAAACTTACGCCATTAACTCAACATACAGTCCCTCTCCTTGCACGGTACATGGTTTTAGTATTAAGCATTGTATAAGAGATAAAAAAATGGCATTCATTTTAAGGGATAGAATCATAAAATGTTTCCAATAGATTTAAGACTGAAATGATGATTTTCGAGCATAACCATTGCTAGTCAGCTGAACAAAATAGCGCCGAATGCGAAACTATGTGTCATAGAAGTAGCATAAAGAGGTGATTATATTATTATCTATACAAAAATACTAATCACTGTAACTGTAAGAATTGCCAAAACTAAAAAGAAGGTACAGCTATAAGGCCAAAAGATGCTTTTTGGTACCTATCGCACATTGTCGCAAAAGTGATAAACCTTTTCAGAAATAAAAGCTATAGAAGTTAAATATTTTATTTGTGTTTTGATAAAAATCAAACCAAAGAACGGAAGTGAAGGAATTTTCTCTGTTTATTTTGGATAAATCGTGAGCACGGTGAGTCACGCGCTAGAAATATTAACAATGACGTTTAAATACGTATACAAAGACCCTTGCTACAAAAATCGCCAAACGTGTCTTTAAATAAACTTAAAATGATAATATATTAACATTATTTTCAACAGATATGAAACCTTTTTGTATATTTATACATTTCAGAACTGTACATGCGATGCAAATGCCGAAATGGTATGCTATTCAATATCATGCGCTATTCCACGATGTCTGTACGGTGAGCCGGAAACGCTGCCTGGACAATGCTGTCCATCTTGTCCAGGTAAGTTTTAATACAGAAAATGAGTAAAAAAAATGAAGCACTGAAAGAATAGAAATGGACCCGAAGATGAGCACGAGTAAAAGTAGTGTATCACTGATAATAATAATGTACCAGATGAGAAATAGTAATATTCAGAGTACAAAATGTAATGTATTAGTTGATAAGAAATAGTAATGTTTCAGGTGATCAGAAATAGTAAAAGTGATAAAAAATAGTAATGTATCTGGTGTTGGGAAAACGTAATGAATCAAGGGATTAGAAATAGTAATGTATCTATGTGAAGTGAAAAATAATGTGTCTGGTGAAGTGAAAAAATAATGTATCTGGTGAAGTGAAAATATAATGTCTGGTGATCAGAAAAAATAATGTATTAGGTGATGAGAAAAAGTAATGTATTAGGTGATGAGAAAAAGTAATGTATTAGGTGATGAGAAAAGGGATGTATCTGGTGATTAATAATAATAATAATATATCTGATGAAGAGAAAAAGTAATGTATCTGGTGAAGTGAAAAAGTAATGTGTCTGGTGATGAGAAAAAGTAATGTATAAGTTGATGAGAAAAAGTAATGTTTTAAAAGATGAGAAAATGTAATGTATCTGGTAAAGAGAAATAGTGATGTATCAAGGGATGATAAAAAGTAATGTATTGAGGGATGATAAAATGCAATGTGTCAGGTGGTGAATAATAATAATATATTAGGTAAGAAAAAGTCATATATCAAGTGATTAGCGAAAGTAATGTATCATGTGATGAGAAAAAGTAATGTATCAAGGGATGATAAAATGTATTGTATCAAGTGGCAATTACATGTAATAGTAATGTATCAGGTATTCAGAAATATGAATGCATCAGGTAATGAACAATAGCAAAGCGACAGGTGATAAGACATTGTAATAAAAGTCAAGTGATGAGCAATTGTAATGTATCATGTGTTGAGGAAAGGTACTGTATCAGGTAATGAGAAATAGTAATGTATCTGATAATGAGACATAGTTATGAATCAAGTGATGAGTAATTGTAATTTATCATGTGCTGAGAAAAGGTAATGTATCAGGCGGGAATAATTATGTATCATATGATGAGAAATAGTAATTTATAAATCACATGGTGAGAAATTATCAGAAAAGAAATTGTAATCTACCGGAGAAATAAAGTAATAATAAAAAGAAAAGTCCGCATTTGTTTGTTTGTTTTTTTTTGTTGTTTTTTTTAGTAATGTATGTAAATGTCTGCCAACATCAGATATCTGAACCATTCATGAACTTATGCATTCTACTTTAACGATTATAAATTGTCGTATTTAACATTACTGACAATTCCAAATGTTATTCGTTTACTCTTTGTTTTTATCGATAACAGACAAACCGGATCCGCCAACAATCAGCAACTGCCCAACAAGTGTTTTAAGTGTTGATGTCTCAATCGACAGCGGATCCGCAATTCTGAGAAAAAGTATAACTACTATAAATGCGTATGACTCCGACGGAAATAAATTAAAGGTAGATTTTTTTATATATTGATTTATGGTTCCATAGCTACTATTTCATTGAAATATTTGTTGAAACGGAACTTTTCCAAAGAAATTTAATTTTTGAAATCAACCTTGCATTATGTATTTATTCGCAAATACTTAATATATTAATCTTAATGTATCGTATTATTGATAAAGTCCTTCCATACAATGTAAATGTATAGCAACAAAAATAGAACAAAAAAACAAGACATGTCGAATGACACATGTGCCCCTCTTTCTAGCCCTTGACTCATACTATTTGTTATTTTGTTATAGAAACTTGCCATAAATGGGTACATGAAAGTGTTCAGCTATGAAAAAAGAAATAGTAATGACTTATTATTTAGTTATAACAAATCAATATGTGAAATATAAAGACCTTAACATTTGAACTAGTGATCCAATTATGACAAATCAAAGTGCTAAATATGAAGACTTTATGATTAAAAGTTTTCAAGGTAAAGAGCGGAAACCATTCTTACATTTAAGTCCGCTGTGACCTTGACCTTTGATCTGGTGTTCCAAAAATTAGTAGGAGCCATTTACTACATATGACTATTCAATATATGAAATATGAAGACTTTGTGATAAATAGCCTTCGAGATAATGAGCGGAAACCATTCTGACATTTAAGCCCCCTGTGACCTTGACTTTTGGAGTAGTGACCCCAAAATCAATCGGGGTCATTTACTTGTTATCATCAATTAGTATATGAATACTTTGTGATCAATAGTTTTTAAGATAATCACCGATACCATTTGGTCTACCAACGGACATACCGAGCGACCGACAGACATTAGCAAACTTCTTCGAAAGGCATTAAAAAGACATTCCAAAAAGGGACACATTTTGGTCTATATGTATAAAATGCTTTTATGTAGACTTACTGTCACTATATGCTCGTTAAAATTTGTCTATATAAAATGATAATGTATATTTTGTATTATGCATATACAAATATGTGCATTTTCATGAAAATGTTTTGCTACATCATATGGTGTCATAAACATTGTATTAAAACAATTCAGGTGAAGTATCAACCAAGGAAAGTGTATCACTGTCAGTGTTGGTCCCCTAAACCAATCTCTGTTCAAGCTTATACCGAAGATGATCTAGGTGGAACAGCTTCCTGCTCTTTTAATGTCACTGTTAAAGGTCAGTGTGAACCGTTTTTTGAACGTAAGGGGCGATAATGACAAGTGCCACTATCAAACTCCTCGCAGCGGTTATTCCCTTTATCAGTACAGTACAGTGATGAATGAAGGGATCACTGCATAGAGATAGTGCCACCATTGTTTTTTTTGTTACTTCCCCCGAAATAAAGCGGGTTTTCCCCTTCAATATTTGAGCCATTTTATCTCTAGAAAAATGGCATATTTTAAAAAGTTGTAAGGTTATAAGTCCCTTATTCAAACTGAAAAATTCTTATAGAAATAATTTATAAAATTGCATGTAATTATGTATTGTGATCAACTAAACAAGGAAAACCATAGCCCAGAAGTAAAATCAATAGTGCCTAAGTATATCTTCCCAAATACGGTACAAGCTTATGAAAACAATAATCATTTACATCATATTTTTAGATCCACACCCTCCGCGATTTTATAACTGTCCAAAGGATATCCATGTCGTAGAAAATACTTCAGTTCGTTGGAATGAACCTTCATATGAAGATAACGTTGGAATTGGACGATTCATAGGACCAGGTCTGTCAGGTAGTATATTCCCTGTTGGATCGCATAACATGACTTACCAAGTTTGGGACTTTGACGGCAACACAGCGTCATGTGTATTCAGCATCTACGTGGTCCAAAGAGGTAAACTAATATATAAAGTCATCAGATCAAAAATTAGTTTACTAAATTAGGAATTACTTGAGATACTTTAAAGACAATGAGGATGAAAAATTGCAGTCAGTATGCATGCTTTTGTGTCCATCTCGGTGCCTATACCACGTGATATTTTATGATCTGCGCGGGATAAAAAACTATACATGCACAATTTCTTCCATATCTTTAAAAAAAAAAACATTATTTTTAATCAGATAATGTGTAAAGCTCTAACATTCTTGTAAGAAACACAAATAATGATATAGGGGTAAAAATTTGGATATTTTACGTAAAATGAAACCAAATATTTGACCAATCAGAGATACTCATGCGGTTTCACACTGCGGAAAAAAAGTGTTTCTTCCCAGGAAACGTTATTAGTATGATATCCTATAAAATAATTAAAATATTAAAAAATGTTTTTGGCAGAAAATAAAGTCAGGACTATCTTTTGTATCTGTTTCGTGTCCCACGCAGATCACAAAATGTCACATGGTATAGGCACAATGTTCATGACTATGAGTTAAAGAAAGGTGCAATATCTCTTATGCCACCAAGCACCAGCGTAATTACAATTCACTAAAGAAACCAACGTTCTAATTACATCTTCTCGGCCCTTTTGAGCAGGGAATTGTCAACAACAGCGCCCTTTGAAGATATGTGCAGTTCAAATACAATGCATTTAGATTCATAAATGTACACATTTATATCGCCCAAGTGAACATAAATTTAGTTTATTGAAATATATAATTATAATGTTTGATACCTGTTTAAAAGCAAACTATGACAAGTATTCGGGTTTTGTATGTATCTTGGACAATATTTCAGACGAAACTATGATCTTTTCAGGCCCGCCGAAACTGTACCATTGCCCAGCTGACGTCATACGTCTGAACACGTCATTGAACACTAACTTTGCCGTCATCAAAGACACAGCAATAGGTCTACAAGCTTATGACATTGACGGCAACAAGTTACATGTAGAGTAGTGATTCTTACTTTGAACATTATTTCACTCCGCGGCGTTTTATAGGATTCACTGTTAAAGTATAGGATTCACTATAATAAAAATATATATTATTATTTTAAAAATGGAATATTTTAATAGTTTCAAGAATAACCTGTTTAGAACGTCAATCGATGACAGAAATTATAACTGCTCCGCCATTGGTCTTATTGCTTTACTTGTTTTTCGTCTGCATCTCAGGTGACATATCAACCGCAGACGATAGACCATTGTAAATGTTCGGACTCTCATAAAGCAAACTTTGAAGTTTCTGCAATGGCTGTAGATGACTATGGGAAGGTTGCAAGATGTAACTTTACGGTAACAGTACGAGGTAAGTCAAGTTTTTATCCAAGTTTCTTCGTAACTCGTAAACCGCACGGTAAAATTTGTTCGAATTTTGCATATAACTCATCTACATGGTCAATTCTCCAGTTCCTTAGATCGTCAATTGTAGATGGTCATACGATAATAATATTGATCTTTTTTTATTATTTTCAACGTTTTGTAATCACTGCGGGTCATAATAAATACAGTTAATTTGTATAGCTTTCAAAACCGTTGGTCCGACAAAACTTATGTATAAAGTATTTCGTAACATTCTACTAGAAATCAAAATGCCATAATGTATTCAATGCATATTCAGTAAATACTGAAGCTATGCAACTGCTTTGATTTTATATCTACCTGTATTGTTTTTATTCTTTGTTTCTATATTTAGATATTTTCCCGCCAAAAGTCTCCTTCTGTCCAGACGATATCAGTGTCCTAGAAGGAGACGTGGTCACGTGGAAAGATCCAGTGTTTGTAGATAATGTAGGGATTGCACAGAACTATGTCAATATGGAGAAAGGGACATCATACCCTGTAGGAAGGCACACTGTAGTGTACAGTGTGAAGGATTATGACCGGAATGAGGCCTCGTGCAGCTTTGAAATTATTGTAGACAAAGGTAGTCACATTTTCCCTTTAAAGGGTGGTTCTACTCAAGATTAATTCTAATTTTCATGAAAGTTCAGAAAATGTATTAAAAATAAAATATCGTGAAGTAAAAAGAGAAAATATTTTTCACATTGCAAACAGCATTTGCAACCCATGCCCATTACAAGATATCAAAATATGCCAAAAATAGCCCTTACTGCGCTAGTAATAAAAATATGGTGAAAAATATTGCAAAATCGGTTGTAATTGGCACATGACATGGAAATTATTGCCTTTTTCCTGAATCTTTTAACTTTTTTTGAAATATCAGTAGCTTTTTCTCAAGTTTGATTTTCTTGAAATTTTTTGTACATCTCGAGGCGTGCACATTATGTTAAATGCCTTGGATTATGTTTAAGAATATTTTATATGGAAATATTTCTTTTTCAACATTTTAAATCAGGTTTTTACTTTTGCCATTATCAGAACAGAACATCAACTTTATTTTAGACAAATACATTTAGCTTATCGGGAAATAATACATGTATTTACAAGTAATGGATATTTTTGGGGCGTCTGTGGCCGAGTGGCTGACTTTACAGCACTTGTCTCTCACCGCTGTTCGAGTCGCGTTTTTGGTATCCGCATGTGAGGAAGCTATCCAACGAGCTTACGGGACGTTCTACTCAGGTGTCTGTTAGTACCCGAAATTATGAAGAGGGTGGCACCTGAGGACTTACTCCATCAGCAGAGCTGGAACGTCGCCATATGATATTGTAATGTGTTGGTGTGATGTTAATAAACCCAACCAAAAGAAGAAAAAAAAGAAATTAACAGTTGATTATATCAATACAAAAATAAAACAATATGTCACTATTAACTAAATGTTCCTTTGTTGAATGTTTAAGACATTACTAAAGATAAAACTGTGTAATCTCATATTTTAAATAAGTTTGTCATATGCCAGGTTATAACTGATTTATTATTTCCAGCGAAACCGGATCCACCGAAAATACATAATTGTCCCGTGAACGTCGTTCAGTTGAACACATCATACATGAGTGATTATGCCATCGTCGATAACAGAAATACTGTCACATCTGGTATATTTGCGCTTGACGCTGACGGCAATTATTTACAGGTACTCCGCAAATTTGTTGCGCACTTTCAGCTGTTTTGCCACTCTGACGACGAGAACAAATCATTTTTAAAATGCTACTATTGTTCATGGAAGTGTAATGCATTTGTCAATTTATCTATTTGGTCCTAACCCTTGCCACCCCTTAGGCAGATAATGGAAGATAAATGTCCAGTTTTCACGTTCTTCCTTGCCGTGTCGTTGTGGTGGTTTTGTTTCTGGCGCCAAAATAGCGGTGATAATACTATGTCCAATTTAAAGTGCATATGTTTGGCTTATAATTGAAACCATAGTGTAAACAGAACAGAACATAATTATTTTGTTTTACAAAATGACTTGAATATAACGGTTCCTCAACATAACACATTAATATAATACATGTATACTCTTACCTGGAATGAATATATATTTTTAACTTTACAGATAAAATATTCACCAGAGAAAGTTTACCACTGTAAATGTTCTTCCTATAATACTGTAACGACCACTATTTTTGCCGAGGCCGTTGATAGTCATGGCAACAAGGACACCTGTCAATTCAAAGTCGTCGTCAAAGGTAACAAATAATTATCTTAATGGGTCTATATTACACTATAAGGGTAACCAGTAAAAAAAGAAGTGTAAAACAGACTTTATGAAACGTTTGTCGCAATAATGTAATGGGCAAGAATGGGAAGAAAAATGATGTTATACTGAATGATTACTTCAAAGTTTTAATGCTTCAAAATTAGCATTCTTTGTAATTCATGTACGAAACAAAAACTGACAATTAATGTGCCGATCCTCCGACAAATTTATTTATTTAATTTGTGTTTTGTTCACCGGCGTATATTGTAATGAACCTGGTCGTCCGTCCGTCCGCCTGTTATGCGCTATTATGTCCCTTATACCAGTGGAAAAAATTAAAACTGCTTGGCAAAAATTTAGTTGAGCGAAGGTTTGACCTTCTTCAGGCCAAGGTCAATGTCACACTTAATCAGTTTGTATGAATTTTCAAAATATCGTGTCTCCTGTGTAACTTTTTTACCGATAAAAGGAAATTAAACCATTGTGGCAGAAATATTTCTTTTAATGAGTCAATTTGCAGAACATATGTTTGGTCTTCCTATTTATATTGCTAAGGGAAGGTCAGTTGGTCTTTTCATGTGCCCACTCGTGTCTGGAAGAATGCACATAAGACAATCTGGGGATTTCCCTCACTGCTAAAGCTGATAAGGCGCCTTGTGACAATTCAATTGTCAGATGGCAAGTTTCTTTTTATTTGCTTAATTAGATATCTAAAAAAATTCCCGCATTTACCTTTGCCATATTTTCAGATATCTACAAACCTGTTTTTACCTCTTGTCCCAGCCATATTTATGTATCGGAAAATGAGCGGGTTACTTGGCAAGAACCTACCTATTATGACAACGTGGGAGTATTGGACATGTCCCGTTCGGGTTATGAGAGTGGTCAGGTACCACCTGCGGGCAACCATACTGTTTATTATAAAGTATGGGACTTCCAGTATAACACCGCCATATGCAAGTTTAATATTACTGTTACAAAAGGTACGTTAAAGATTTTACCGATTGCTATGACATCAGCTTTCGTTGTCAGCATCGTCACATCATCACTTTTGTCATCACCATCATTGAAGACGTCTACATCATCACTGTTGTTTCATCATCATCATCAGAACTGTTGTCGTCATCAGAACTGTTGTCGTCATCATCAGAACTCCTATCATCATCAGAACTGTTGTCGTCAGCATCAAAACCGTTGTAGTCTACATTATCACTGTTGCCGTCCTTATTTCGATTGTTATTATCATCATTGTTGTCATCATCATTTTTATCATCAGTGACATTTTTATCACAATCATCATCGCTGACACTATCATTAACATCATTATCGTCATCGCTGACATTATCATTATTATCGCAATCATTATCATTGTCATCATCGCTGACATTATCATTTTTATGGCAATCATCATCGCTGACATTATCACTATTATCGGAATCATCAACGCTGACATTATCAGTATTATCGCAATCATCATCATTGACACATTGCTGACATTATCAATATTGTCGCAATCATCATCGCTGACATTATCACTATTATCGGAATCATCATCGCTGACATTATCTTCATTGTCATTGTTGATATCGCCATTTTCTTCACAAATGTCATTAGTATCATCAGTATCATGATTATTTCATTTATTTGAATTTAGCTTCATTTCTTCATCTGTCTTTTCATATTTTGTCAGTGCGGCATAATTTCATTTAGAAGCTTTATACCATTAATTGATTCATCGTAATTTGTTTCTTTATCAATTAAAGCAAACGACTGAAAATTTATTCATTTTGTGATATATTATTTTGATAGAACCGCCAAAGCCGCCGAAGATATTGAACTGTCCCATAAAAGTTCTGTCCTTGAACACCGCTTTCAACAGTGATGAAGCAAAACTAAGTGAAGACGTCACTACTATCAAAGCTTACGATAACGAAGGAAGTAAACTTAAGGTTAGTTCTATTTCTTATTGCAGATGGATGTTATTCTTCAAATTGCACTGTTCAATTAACATAGAATATAAATGAGCCGCGTCACGACAAAACCAACATAATGTGTTTGCGACCAGCATGGATCCAGACCAGCCTGCGCATCCGCGCAGTCTGATCAAGATCCATGCTGTTCGCTTACCAACTCTATTACAAGTGGAGAAACTGACAGCGAACAGCATGGATCCTGATCAGACTGTGCGGATGTGCAGGCTGGTCTGGATCCATGCTGGTCGCAAACGCACTATGTTGGTTTTGTCGTTACGCGGCTCAAATGTACGTTTATGACTGAAAATATATTACGATTGATGCAACAGCAAAAGATCTAATATAGAAAACTTACGCACGTGTGTCTTAATAAAGATACTATTAGAATGTGTTGTTGTAACCCTTTAAAGACTAGCTGGAATAATGTATTTCCTATTCTACAACTGGGCCTATATAGTAAGGCCAGTCGGCACATCCGGGTAGTAAAGCCAAACTTGACACTGTCGTCTGATGATACATTCATATATGTATGATTAGATATGATATGATATGATATTATATTATATTAGGATATGATATGATATAAGATAATATATATTGGGATATGATATGAAATAAGATAGGATATGATATAAGGATATGATATGATATGAAATTGGGATACAATATTATGACATGATATAAGATATGATTTGATATTATAAGATGATATGATATGATATTAGGTTAGATATGATATGATTTATAATTATATGAGAACAAACTGATATACTTGTTTTAAAAACAGGTAAACTACCAACCTGCAGCTGTACGTCATTGTTACTGTTTCAATACCCACACAACAGAAACAACAGTTATTGCATGGGCCGTTGATGATGCGGGAGTCAAGGAAACATGCGAATTTAATGTAACCGTTTCCGGTACGAATTTTCCCGCCATTTTCTTATTGTAGCGTTATGTTAGATTTGTAGAGTTCCAAATGAGTATGTTTCATGTATTTTTAAGTTTTAAAACATAATAAGTATCTTGTCGAGTATGATTTTGATATGTGCTATTGGATTTGACTTTAGGACATATCATTTGTTCTGTTGAGTGTACCAATGTCAGTCATATTGGAATGTACTGTTCGACTTACCATTGCCCTTTTGGGTTTTCCCATGGGATATGACTTGGGTTTTCCCATGGGATATGGCATTGTTCTTTTAGATGCTACTATCGAATATGACATTGTTCTTTTGGATTTTGGATTTTACCATAGGTAATAACAGTTATCTATGAATTGCAAAATAGGTTCATGGGATTTATTTTTACATTCAGATAAACAGGCGCCAGTTATCACAAAGTGTCCTGGAGATATAGAAAGATATGAAGGAGAAACGATTGATGATGTGCGGCGGCAACCAGTAGAATTTCAAGATAACGTCAAGGTTGCAAACGATTATTGGAGCATACAAACTATTGACACATTCACCCCTGGAAAACATAATGTTTCCTTTGAAATTTGGGATTATGATTATAATAATGCAAGATGTAACTTTACTGTGACCGTCACCAGACGTAAGTTATTTTTCATCAGTTAAAAGTTGCTTACTAAAATTTCTTCTAGCGTGATTGCTGGCAAGGATAAGAACTTACGCCTTTAAATTGGTATCACTAATTTTTATAGACAAACTAAAAAACGTATATTGTCTGTTGTCTTTTGTGTGTATGTGTTGTTTTTTTGTGTTTTTTCCCAACAATTTGTTTGTTGTTTTTTTTTTTGTGTTTTTTTTTTCATTATGTATGACCGACAGTTTCCTTTCCAAAAAAAACTAACTTAAGACAAATCTAACTAGACCCTGAATCTGGAGAAAACCATCCGTCGTTCACAGTGTCAAATTCACAATACATACTGACTGAATAGCAAACAGTGCAGACCATAATCAAATCACAAGGATGTACCATCTAACCATGGTCTGCACTGGTATCATGGCTTAATTCAGCTCCCATTATAGGGTTTAAACCCAAATGGGTGATACTGTGATGGGACATGGTTTTAAAGGACTAATTACGGATTTACTTTATTATATGTGTCTTTGAAAATACGTATGCCTTGAAATGGCTTGCTGTTTATAATGTCCTTTTTTTAAAATATTTCTTTTAAAAGGTACTCAGATTTCAGTTTTGTGCGAACTAGAAACTGACCTTTTACAGTAACATTATTTACACATTTTCTCTCTAAGATACAGATCTGCTTGATTTTTGTGCGATTTTCAAACTTTTAATTTTGATTGTTCTTATTATTCTTAATATTGTTGATTATTATTGTTTGCTACTGCTGCTGCTGCTGCTGCTACAATAAAAAAGGACCTAACCATTTCAGAAGTCATCTTTTTTCTGTTTTTTATATTAGGTAAAGTGCCCAAGATTAAGAATTGCCCTCCGAATGACTTATTCTTGAGTGCACCCAGCAATGGTAATTCTGTGATGTTGAGTGAAAGCACTACCTCCATAGAAGCATATGATGGTGATGGAAACAAGTTAATGGTATGTCAACTATTCACCTCAGTATCTAAATATCTATCATATCATAATGCAGCTGTTTTTTGTCGGACTTTACGTCACACCAACACAGGAGATGTCATATGGCGAGTTTCCAGCTTTACTTGTGGAGAGTGACTTCAGGCGGCGCCCCTCCGTGCATTATTTCAGGTACAAGCTGACGCCTGAGTTGATCCACCGACGTTGCGTAAGCTAGTACATGAAAGCATTTTAAAGTCCGTCGCGGGATTCGAACACACAGGGGTAAGGGGCAAGTTGCTTGAAGTCAGTGACCTAATTATGTTCTTATAGCAATGATATTTTTGTGGTATTTAATATTCAGATTTTACTGGTAGCTTAAGTTAAATTTGATATTAGCTTGTACAGACTATTTGTTAGTTTGATTGTGTAGGAAGCTATAAGCTGAGAGACACACTCTCTAATCCGCTCCTGAAACCAACCGGTACTAAGCAATGAATGTAAAGTTTCTTCTCTAACCACAGAGTCATATCTAAATGGAGAGGAAGCTATGATGTCATACGCTTAAAAATTGTATCAGGTATTTTTTATCCCGCAAGTTCACATTTTTGAGAGATTTTCCGAGACCATGTTGACCCGAATGCCGATATGTACGCCGCCATGTTATCTTAAATTTGTTATGGTTATCAAAACAAATACCATAAAAATTTGAAAAATGTCAAAAAAGCAATAAAATTTAAGAAGATGTAAATTATTCTAAGAATTGGATGAAAATGAAAACACATTTGGTCACAAAGAAACAAGATGGCGGACACTGATCTACCCCAAAGCCCAAGGGCCAATTAATCTCGCGCGAGGTGTTGCTGGTCAGGATAAGAACACTATCTATTTTAGAGCTTCTTATACATTGCAATCAAAGTATCCGCTCCAACACATAATAACTGTAGTGAGAGGCAGGTACAATAAGCATAGAGCCGCCAACTCTCCCTTTTTTTAAATGATGAAGACTTCAGATATGTTACATAATTTATTACAGGTAAATTACAAGCCTGCGTCTGTCCGCCATTGTTTCTGTGGCATATCGACATCAAACTATACGCGTGTAGAGGCGTCTGCTACTGATTCGGCTGGCAATGCTGTGTCATGTTCTTTTAGAGCATTTGTTCTAGGCAAGTACTGAGTATTTTTTAAATTTGAATACCTATTTAGTATTTTTTTTATTCCATTCTTATGAATTGGTTTACATGTGTTATATTCCTGTTATACACATAGGTCTCTACATGTAATGAATCTATACGACCCGGCAGAAAAAATCTGTATCAGCGAGCATGATCTGGAATGACGTTGCTGGAGTTACAACAGTTACGTTCCGAAATGACGTTGCTTGAGTTATACGAGTTACGTTCCGAAAGGACGTTGCTTGAGTTATACACGTTACGTTCTGGAATGACGTTGCTGAAGTTATTAAAATTACCTTTCGAAATGACGTTGTTGAATTAAAGTTGTACCACTAACGTTCCGGGATGACGTTGCTGCCGTTTAAGCTGTGACGTTCCAAAATGACATTGCTGCCGTTTTACCAGTGATGTTTCGGAATGACGTTGCTTGTGTTTTATTAGAACGTTAATTATGGTTAAATTCGACATGGTATACAATGTTTAGTAGGAGTGTCTTGATGTGTTACTTGTACTTGGTTCACAAGTAGTATTTCATATATCTAAGGATAGACTACCGTTTTAGCCCTTTAATCTGGATGAACCTTTTCTCCCAGTATAGAGCCAAGCGAGCCTGGACGTCCGTGCAGTTTGGCCTGGATCTATAATTTCGGCTAACTAATTTCATCTTAGTATCAATAAAATGGACAAGTTCATTAAAAAAAACAGCAGGTAAAGAATAGATATTCAAGGAGGCGGTTATCTATTTATTTATTTATTTATCTATTTATTTAGATGAAGTGAAGCCCGTCTTCACGTATTGTCCGGGGAACATGATTGTCCGAGAAAACACGGTGGTGTCTTGGCGTGAGCCAGTATATCATGATAACGTTGCCGTGGTAAACAAATCAATCTCCGGCTGGAAGCGTGACACGGTGTTTCCTGTCGGCAGACACAAGATTGTTTATGAAATCTGGGACTTTGACGGGAACTCCGCCACATGTCAATTTAGCGTCGTCGTTATACAAGGTAAAGTATACCTGTCCGTCACCACTGTAAGTTCGATCTCCGACAATGACAAGGCATATTATAACTCATACAGCTCGAGTCAATAGAAACATGACTTTGCATTGATGGCCAACAATCATTGACTTTTTTCACTTCTAAAGATTATATATACGTCAGATAGCCAAAGAAAATAATTATGACGTCACTTGTAACATTGAATTTTACTATAAATTTTCTCTCACAAACTGAATCATTATACCAAAAAAAAATTTCTTCTGTTACTACTAGTTTTGCAATTAGATGACAAGTAATATATATTTACGTTTGAAATTATATATTGTGTTGTTTTGTATTATTGTTTCAACAGAATGCACTTTGGAATGTCAAAATGGAGGAAGGTGTTACCGCCAGGGAAATGATCAGTTATGTATATGTACACCAGATTATATTGGAACCTACTGCGAAAATAAATGTAACAGTTTCTTATTCCTTTCTTTATTTACTTGTTCATTTATTTATTCTTTAAGGATTTTTGACATGTTTGGCATTCATTTGTTATTTTCATTGCTTGGCGCATATTTGTCATATTATAAAAGACCCGTATAACAACCGCGTCCATGGCCGCGGCTGAAGATTCTTGATTTACTATTATCATTTTCAATTTAAAATATTGAACTCTATTTGTGCTGGGATGTGTTATGTCCATGGACATAACCCATAACGGACGGGATGATACTGACAGTTGTACGACCATACATGGTTAAATTGTTTCATCTAATTATCAGTAGGGAAGAAAAAGGAATTTC